CTAAAAAAGAAGAAAACTCTAAACTCAACAATCTAACTTAAAAGAGTAAAGCTGTGATGGAATATGCTGGAGGGTCAGCAAAAAAAGCCCCCAACCTCAAGGAGCTGGCTTAGCGACCCACCTTGCATGCGTGTGTCCCCACATCCCACACATGGGACATGATCGAGTATTTGGTTGGGAAACTGAACTGCGTGCTCATTACATGCCAGGCGTGGGGCATGCCTGACCTCGTGTGACCTCACAGCAACCCTATGTGGGAAGAATTATCATCCCCATTTTGCAGGCTTGCAAAGTTTAGGGGACTTGTCCCAGGTCATTGTAAGGAAGTGGCTGCGACCAGATATGAAGTCTAATCTACTTCCAGAACCCGAATCCTTGCCACCACCCTGGGCACCTGAGCAGGCTTTCAAAGTCTTAAAAATGGCAGGAACCATCTTGTGGATATTTGCTAAGTTTGGGGATCTCCACATCCAATCCCTCTTCTCTTCATAGCCATGCCTCAATTCCCTTTTGGGGATTTACTTTTCCCAATAGGATACGGGTGTGTGTGTGTCTGTCTTTTTTTCAACACATCAGAAATGATCTTATGGGTTTCCTGTTAGTGTCTGTCTCTCCCAAAGTCGACCGCATCCTAGGGCTTAGTTAGGGCTTGGCACACAGCAGGTGCCTGACGACATTAATGAATGAATAAATGAAAGAATGACATCAGTGCCTTGCTCAGTCTTTCCTCTTTGCCTGCCCTTTCCCTGAAGACTGGCATGATAGGAATGAGGATGGGTTCCTGACAGTCCCCTCAAGGGGAGAGGGGACAGGGATGAGCACCAGTGGCAGAAGGGACAGAACAGCTCCTAGGGCTTTGTTCAATCTTGATCCCATTTTCTAGAAAGCTCTCCCACTCCTCTTCTGCCTGCTCAAACTTTGGTCAGGGCTTTGGAGTGAGCGGCAAGCCAGGGTTTGCATGTTGGCTCTGCCACTGACAGACTCTAGGACCTTGGACAAGGGTCTTGCCGTCAACAAATCTGTTTGCCGAGCTGGGAAGTGGGCATCTGGACAGTGTGGCACTAGGGGAGTGATCACAGTACGTGCTCCAGCATCTCTTCGGCCAACCTGAGAGTGAGCGCGGTGGGGCAGGGAGGTGTCTGCATTCCTCCTGGCTGTGCTTCCAGCACCTGGCACAGCCTGTGTGCCTATTTTTGGATGAACAGAGGCAAGCCCGAACTCCCTAGCAATCTGGCTCCCTGGGCTGGCTGGGACGCCGCCAACTGCTGGGTCCTTCGGGCATCATCTGTGATGGTGACAAGGCCACCTGGGCTGCACGGCAGACCCTCAATGCCCCACACAGGGTGGCGCTCCCTTCCCCGCACAAAGTCGCTGGGAGGACACAAGCAGGTTGGTGAGAGGGTCACGGAGCCTGATGTCCGGTGCAGGTGCCCAGAGCAGACAATGTGTCGAGAAGACAAAGCGTCACTGTCATACGCTGCCCCGTTTCTCTTTGCCTTCAATTTTAGTCTCCCCTAGCCTGCCTTGGGGGACCAACCCCTCTCTTACAGCCCCCTTGGTCTCGGCTCGCACCCAATGACTTCCAGCCCTCCCCAGCTCTTCCACACTAGCGCTCCCCGCCACAGGGGATGCCTGTGACTGTTCCCCGCAGCAGTGAAGCTGGTGGAGGTTGAAGGGGGCCCTCTGTCATCACAGGGACCCAGAGCCGAATCCGACCTCTGGTGCTTTCTAGCTGTGTGGTCTCATGCCAGCGCAACCAGCTCTCCGAACCTCCGCATCCTCATCCGCAGAACGGACCGCTTCTACTCCGGTGCCCAGGGTCCCAGGTGGAGATTGTGAAGAACTTGTGCAGAAGGCCAAGTGCAGCGCTTTGCTTGTGGTGAAGGTCTGGAGGACAAGCACTAGTTGTGGTAGGTCGCCCCCGTTCCTGCCCTCAGTGACAGATGGGATGGGACTCCCGCGGCTCACCACCTCACCTTGGGTCTGGCTGCTTCCTCCGTCCCAAATGCCTCCCTTCCTGTCTCCAAAGGGCAAACCCTCTTTCCAGATAAAAATGAACACATCCTTTACGACCCCCTTCTCCCTAAACACAGAGGACCTCTCTTTTGCCCTGGAAGCAATGCTTGTCCCGTTACCATGGAGACACATTTTAGGATGTGACTTATGCCTGTTTTCCAGATGACAGCGAGGCTGGGAGAGGTCGTCAGAGCCCCACAGCCAGTGAGAGGCTGGGCTTGGTGCCCAGGTCTGTGTGACCCCACCGCTCCCAGCTGTCTGTGAGGCCATCAGGAGGGTTATTAGTATTAGAGGTAATTTTACTGATGAGAAAAGAAGGTTCAGGGAGTTGGAAACTTGTCCAGAGTCACTCAGCTGACCTGAACTAGATTTTGATGCCAAGTTCAGGGTCTTACCCCACCTGCCTGAACACCGGGCCCTGGCGGACTCCTGAGTGTGGTCTGCGGTACAGCACAAAGCAGTCAGGAATCCTACATTCTACCCTGGGCGCCCCAGACCCGCTGAATCAGCATCTCCCTGGTGACTCGTGGACATGTGGATGTTTGGGAAGCTCAGGTTTTGATTTCCTCTGGAGGCTTCTTTGGGGTCAGAGCGGTGGGTCACATCTTCCATGGGGTTTCTCCTGCCATCACTGAGTGTTCTGTCTGGCTCTCTTGGTGAAGGGTCTGAAAAATGACACAAATCCCATCCTGGTCTCCCCAAGTCTCTGAGTCTCCTTACGGCTCAGAGACCACGCAACTGTCACGGGCAGGGAAAACCGCGTAGGGAATGTGGCTGCTGGTCCCAGGCTGGGGGAGAGGCTGGGTTGAAGTGCGTGGTGGAAGCTCAGGACATGGTGGGGGCTCAGGCAAAGGAGCCAAAAACCTGGGGCTGAGGGTAAAGCCCAGCAGAAGCCCCTTGGGGTGTCTTCCTTGCAAGGACCCTGAAAAACAAAAGTAATTCCAGAGAGGACATCAGTTAGGTCTCCAGAATAAAATAATGGTGACAATTACACCAGCCACAAATCATCGACCATCCACAAAGGGCCTGGCACAGGCTGGGCTCTTCAGGCCATACTGAGTGGTGGTTGCTTCTACCCCTATTGAATGGAAGAGGGAAGTAGAGCCCAGAGATGCCAGGGAATTGTCCCCAGCCTCCTGGCCAGCGAGCACCAGAGCTAGGAAGGGAACTCTGTTCTAGAGGCTCCAAACCTGCTATCCAGTGCGCTCAGAGCCCCGATGGCTCAGGCTCCAGAGTCAGTCACGGCACAAGCGCGAGCTTATAAAACATGTCAGTTCCCATGATGATTATAATGAGCAAGTGACTTCATCTTGACTCTGAAGACTGGAGGGACCCACGGCTCCTGTCTGGGCCTCCGTGAGTGTGAGGTGGCTGGAGGCCATGCCAGCCTGGAAATGCCCCAGCTGGTTTCCCGCAGGCAGGGGGTAGGAGGGAGTGTGCCTTCCCGCCATTCTGCAGAAGTTCTTTGGGAGACCGCAGTCAAGACCTCTCCATTGGATTTCTCACTGCTGTGCTGTGACTGTGGTGGCAGCGGAAGCTACTAGAAGTTGGGCCAGGGCCTGACGGACTGGCCATGGGCAGCTCTGTTTTCTTCTGGTGCAGGTGAGCAAATGTAGGAGGAAGACTGACGTCTGATGCTGACTTGGTGCGAGGAACCGAGTGGGGTGCAGGTCACATGTTGCTTCGTGGAATCCCCACAGCCCCTGAAGCTGGCGCCGAGATTCCCGGGAGGCATAGGCTGAGCCCGGCACCGAGCCAGGAAGGGAGGTTTCACAGGCGTCTCTGCGGTCCTGCGCCCTCGCTGAACTGAACAAACCACAGTTCGGTTCTTCAGCGGCTCTGACCGACCTACAGTTACCAGGAAGTAGGTCTGAGGTCTAGGGGCCTGCATGTCCAGGTGAACCAACCTTAGAGACAACCAGTCTGTCCATAACCCCGATGCACACCTCTGGCAGCGTGACCTCTGCTAAGTCAGCAGGACAAGGACATGCAGACGGCTTCACTGTCTGAAACACGGTGGAGACCGGTGTTTCTCAAACTGGGTTCCACCTCAATATTCTCAGGCACTTGCACGTTCTGTCAGTGCACTAAAATCGTCTTCATTTAAACCAATTTTTAAGAAGCCCACTTGTTTTTCCTAGTTATAAGAACTTTCTTTTTGCTGTGGTAACTTGGAAAGGCTGAGATGTCACAGAACGAGGCTCTGGATTTGTAGGCGGGAGTGTGTCACTGGACGCTACTATCATTTTCTGGGGAGGCGGTACAGATGCTCTGTGTGAGAAAACCCAGCACACACGAATCCCCCTTGGGTGCCCACGCATTCTGTTATAAAGGGCCATCTCTCCTGAGTCCCTGGATTTCAAAAGGCCAGCCTCCTGCTCCGACCCTCTGAGGGCTCCAGGTCAGAGGCAGGGGCGGGTGAGGGGAGAAGCCACCTAGGGTGAAGCTGGAAACACGGGCGGTCAGAGATGGGTTTTCTGTTGAGCGTAAAGGTGGGCTGAACAGGAGGACACAGGGCTGCGTGTCCCGCACTACGATCCTCAGGGCGCAAAGCCACACAGACCCCGATGCAGCTGGAAAATCTGCCTTCATGTGCTTGTGAGTTATGTGGATGGTTTTCAATGAACACACATCTAGGGCTTGTATCCGTTTTGGTATAAAACATGGAATCCGGGGCGGTGGCTGCCTCTGCAGAGTGGGTGGGAGGGACAAGAGCCCGGTGGTGCTGGAGGTTACCTGGGCTCTATCTGGAACGTGCTCCCTCTCAAAACAGAACTGGAAGTGAACAGAACATTGTCAGCTGCTAACTGCTTCCCGGGTGAGACTTGGGGGTCTGCTGTGTTTGCCTCTGAATCACCCTTCCGCTGAGGGAGCCTCGTGCCCTTTAAGCTCCAGGCGCCCCCTAGTGAGCTGCCCGGGCCCAAGGTCCTAAAGCACTCCTTCAGATAAAAAGCAGAACACAGCCATCGTATGTGGAAGTAGAAATTTAATAAAGCCTTTGATCACGTTTTAATCCCTAGGTTATCTATGAAACCAAAAAACCCCCCACAACTTTTTAGAGCCATCAAGAGCCATCGAAGTGTCAACAAACACCGGCCATAAAAGCACAGATTCAATGTTTTAGATAGTGCAATATTTCCAGCTACTGAAGAGAACAATTTAAATGAAATTATGAACCACCCCTCCTCGTCAAAAGAACAAAAGAAATTGGTGTCGGTGCTTAGAAACCACGCTCTCCGCTCTCCCCAGCGGCACGCTGGCCGATCTGCGGGTGATCGGAGTCAAGATGGAAGCATCCGTGCGGGCCGACAGTCCTCTGGGCCCCCGCATAAATGTGCACGCCCGCTCCGCGCGTGCGCGCACACATTCAGAGATCTTCAGAGGAGTCGAGCGTTTAAAGTGGCAAATCCACAGAATCAGAGGTTACTTACAAATCTTGAATAATAATAAATTCCTGTCTTTAAATTCTTTGCCATCCTTCCATCAAAGTAAAATATAAACTCTGTTTTGCAGAAGCCCAGGGGCTCTCACGTAGCCAGGCTTGGGCCCGGGCGGGACACGGCACCTAGCGGCAACCTCTGAGGGAAGCCACGGAGAGCAGTCCTGCTTACTTTGCCGTCAACATGAAGGTTTTTGCCAGAAGGTGTTCTGCTGCTTGGTAGAAAGCTGGAAGGCCCCAGCCGGCTCCACAGAACAGAGGGACCAGGCACTCCTGGCTTCAGTCTTGGTGGTGGGGATGCCTAAGGAGCTTGACGAGGGGGGCAAGGGTGATGGCTGTCAACACAGACCACGGACACGGCCTCTGTCTCAATTCCCTGGATCGAGAATGAAGTTCTCATGATAAGGGCAGAGGAGCACAATGGGTTGGAAGAGAAAAATGAAGTAAAAAAACAAACCCAAAAAACCCAGCCCAGCGTTTCCTCAGCCCTTTGAGCTTCCGTCAGTGCAAAGTGTCCCCGTTCCCCGTGCTGAAGAAAAATGAGGGGCAAGACCCAAGTTTCTTGGGATTTTACCATCAGTGGAGGGAAGCCACTGCCCCAACAGGCTGGGTAACTCAGATAGTGTTCCTTACAAGACAAGAGCAGGGCAAAGAAGCAGGGGGATGGCAGCTATCCCCTTAGGAATCAGCAGGCTTTGGGGAACAGCCAGCGCCCTCTGGAAACAGAGCTGCTCTTAAGGGCCAAGAGGTACTTTCTCCCAAAGCCAGGCCACCAGTGTGAACACATTAGATGGGATCAAGCCAGTGGGGGGCCTCCAAGCAACCCCACCTGCTAAGGACTCAGAGCATCTGAGGCGAGACTGGGTGTGTGTGTGTGGGGGGGGCACTGCCGCCCGTGGAATGCGTGGTTTCAAGGTGGGGGCAGCGCCCCGAACTTCCTGGGCTCTGCCGCCTTCCTGGCCGGCAACTCTGCTTCCTTGGGGAGCAGGCAGGCCTGGTTGTCTGCAGAGGGGCCGCTGTGGATGGGACGGAAGCAGAGACTTTGTCAAGTGCATAGAGGCTTGGTGAGGCCTTACCTGAGTAAAGAGTTTTCAGAAAAGGAAGGAGAGCGTCTCAGCCCTAGTGGGCTCTGTGCACTCAGGACCGTATCGTGAAAACCACTCCGGACCCTTGGAGTTCCGGGCACTCACTTGTTCATGCACAGCTCATTCAGAAAGTTCAGGAAAGAAAAGACTCACCAAAAAACCAAACTATCAAAAGAAGTCCCTCTGTGACCATAGGCCTTGGCTTCAGACCCCGGAAAGCAGGAGAAAAGGACCAGCGCTGGCGGAACCTGGAGGTTTATTCTCAACACCCTTCCCATCAGTGTCACCTGGAGAGCGCTACGGAGTCGTCAGGTGCGTCCCAAGAAGTTGAGGCCACAGGGGAGTCTCATGGCTATAGAGTGAGAGGTCACTTGGCGGGTGGGTCACCCACTCCCAGAGCGACCCTGCCCCCTGGAGCTGAAGGTCCCTGGGATCCCAGGAGCCGGCCAGGGCAGGCGGCAGGGGCGGGAGCTAGGAGAGCTCGAAGCCCGTGTTCATGCTGATGGCGTAGCGCAGCTTTTCCCGGAGGGCGCTCTTCTTGCTGTAGTTGGGCAGCTTGAGCAGGTTGAAGCAGGTGGAGGAGGTGGGCAGGCGGCCACCCGGCTCCCGCTTGCGGATGGTGAAGAAGCCCCGGAGGACACTGCCCAGGGTGTCCCCCGTGTCCTGCAAGCACACACCACAGCCTCGGTTGGGAGGCACCTGGCGAGGGAGCCCAGAGGGCTGCCAGAGTGGGAGACCTAGGAGAGGACCTGGCTAGCCCCGGGCGTCGAGTGGAACGGCTGGGCTGGTGAGAGCGCGCTGCCGCCCGAGACTAGCCCCCCAACGGAGGGCACCCGGCCCCGAATGCTGAGTGCACAGAAGCAGCTCCGTCCTGCACGGGCGACCCCTGTGTTAGGTAAGCACTCAGGGGGCTTCAGGTTAACTGCTAGTTACCGGTTAACCAATTTCCAAAGAGCCAGACTACTGTAGACACTTAAAGTCCAAAAACAGCCTCCCACTTCCTGCTGCCAGCACGTAGCCCAGGGCAGACTGCAATGTGGGTCAGCCTTCCTTAAGAGGACTGAGCCTTGTCTAGAGTCACACGAGACCTGGAGACCAGCCAGCAGCATCCCGAGAGGCAGCTATGCGCAGAGGCCGCTGGGTTTTGCCGGTGGGGGAGAGGGGCTGAGACAGTGAACCACGGCTGCTCTCAAGCACCCCTCCATGGGGCAGGACAACCCGAGACGTTTGTTCTCTCTTGCAGACGAGGAAACGATGTGGCCTGCCAGATAGCAAGGGCCAGCACACAAGCCCTTGCCTGCCCCATTCCTAAGCCTTACCCCTCCCCCAGCTGCCTCAGCCTGGAGCCCTGCCAAGCCACCCGCTACTAAACCACCCCCAGGTACCCTTTCCTGAGGGAGGAAAGAGAAAGGGACCCCGAGAGAGCTGAGGCCCCAGAGCAGCCTGAGTCCCAGGGCATCCTCTGGGGGCCCAACTGCTCTCCTGGCTGGAGCGTTGTGGAACCTTCTCACCCCGATCCCAGGAGCCGCGCGGCCCGCCCCACGGACCCAGACCGGGTGTGAAGCTCTCCGCAGCGCGCACAGCAAACCACCCCGAAGAGCGGGCGCCTCGCCCCCCGGCAGCGGTACCTGATCGTCTGACACTTCCACACAGCGGATGGAGAAGGGAGGCTTGAGGTAGGCGAATCCTAGGAGCGGGGGCCTGGAGCAGCTGGTCACAAACTGCAACACAAGGCAGGTTGAGGGGACAGAGTGGGGCTTTTGCTCCCTCAGCAACACGCCCCTGGCAGGCGAGCTGCGCTTTTTTGCTTTCTCCAGTCACGGTATGACTGGAGAGTGGAAGGTGACAGACCGTGCATTCAGCCCAAGAACTGGTACATGTCTCATGTCTCCCTTAAGGGTGTTGTTTTCGAAGGTTAAAACACATGAAAGCCACACCAGCAGATGTGACCAGTCATTTGTGCGCACCAACCCAGGGGATGGCAGAGAATGTGTAGCTGAACAGCTCAGAAACAACACAAACTCCCCTCACGGGACTGATCTCAGTGGGCCTGGCACGTGGGCCCTGGCGTAGAGAGACACCACGCACAGGAGAACTGGGCAGAGGGAGATGGTGGTGCCCCTAAGGATGGCGCAGGAGAGAGGGCCCGCTCCCCTCACACCTGGCTTCCTGCTCGGCTTCCTAGCCAGCCGGGGGACAGTGTGCAGGTGCGCTCACCTGAGCAACCTGGCCTGCTGGGTCACGGAGCAGTCTCTGTGAGCTTTGTCCCTGACAGACAAACCTGCTCTCAGCACGCAGACAATGATCAGGCGTCTGGCACCAGCAAGGCTGAGGGGGACGCACTGACGCCCCAGACACCGAGAGTGGGGCCTCTGGGCAGCCAGCCATGCGCCCTTGCGACACTCCTGGGATTCCCTGCATCTTCCAGATGGCAGCACCTGTGTTATCTCCCCACACGTGCAGCTCGTGTCTACACAGGGGAACCAGACTGACTTAGAAATCCGAGCAACAGACCTGCAGAGGAAGTCTTAGAAAGCACTCGCTTTTTAGAACTGAGTATCAGCTAGAAACGCTCTCCCTTCTCCAGGGGATGTATGGGCCTACTACTGGACCTACTACATAACGCCAAGATGTGCTTCAAAATTTCACCGCAAGCTGCGTGTTTGGCTCTTAATGTAACCATTACCACTGAAACAGTGTTTTAAATGGCTGTGAGATTCCTGAGGGCAACCAGAGAGGTTTTGTGCAGCAGGTTTCAAAAACTGTTTTTATACCAAGTGCCATTGCTACTACCCAGCAGGGTTTACTTTCCACCAACCAAAGCACAGCAGCAGCTCCTACGAAGAAAGCAGGGCTGAGCTCCGCACTGGGCGCTCTGGGACCCGGCCTCATTGCATCACTCCTCGGGAGCTGCGTGATTCGCTGTTTCAGGGATGAGGAGATAGACCCGGAAGAGCCCATGCCTATCCCAGTTCAGGCCACTCAGACCTGCCATGTGCCGCAAGCCGGGGCTGGTCAATGGAGGGAGTGCCGCCTTCATCCCCCTGGGGCGGGAGGTGCAGGAGCAGAGGGCCCAATCTGCCATCTGCTGGCGTGACATCTGAAGAAAGCAGAGTCAGGGCCACTCCCGTACAGCGGGTGGGTCTTCCACCTGGCGCCGGGGCCTGGTTGCAGGAACAGCAGGTCTGGGAACCGGCTCTCCAGAGACACGAACATGCCCGCTGTGTGGGACAGACTGCATACAGTCAGGAACCACGGGCTCTCTCCTCTTTCTAGGAGAGATGGAGGAGCGGCTCTACAGGCCAGCAGGGGGTGTTTTGCCTATAAGAGGTGCTGCTGAAAATCAGACTTGATTCTCTTGAGAATTTTTGGAATTATGTCTACCTGCCTACCCCAAGTCCTTCAAAACCCATGGGGACGAGCCGGGCATTTCTGCGTCTGCGAGCGGGGACCTCCTTGATGGGAATGAACTCTCCTCAGAATGACAAAGGAGAAAGAAAACCTGCTGCCCTTTCAACTGGTGACACTGTTTGTGTTGACTCAACAACAGAGGTCACTGGAGACCATTCTTGAAACCCAAATGTCCAATGGAAAATAGCCCAAGGCACTTAAACGTACCCCCAGAATATGACAAAGTGTTCACGGTAAAATATCAAATAGGAGAGCGGGTGGCAAAGTGAAGATTCCATCTTTATAAACATGTACACGTGTGTAACAAATACAGACAAGTGTGCATGTCGTCCACCGTCCCATGAAAGGCTTCGCCAACATAACAGGAAACAACACAGTGGCGTCGCTGGGGGGGATGTTCTGAACGTTTACAACTTCAAAGACACTGGTATAAGGGAACTGGTTAATGTCAGCCACTGTTTGCAGAAACACACACTGCTCTCAGCCTACTCAATCACGTGTGTTTTACGGGCACACTGTATGTGTGGCACTGCATGTTTTACACCACTCAGAAAAAGGGTACACAGAGGCAGTCCCGGGACAGTAGGAACAGAGACTCAAAAGTGTGCCTGTCTCAGGATGCCTGGCTGGCTCAGTCGGTGGAGCATGTGACTTGATCTTGGCGTTAGAAGTTTGACTCCCCACATTGGGTGTAGAAATTATTTAAAAACAAAGCTTAAAAAAAATTGCTTCTCTGTAATTTTAAGGTAATAAACACCATCTGCTTCTATACAGGAAGGAAGAAACGAGATGTGAGCAAGGCCAGCACCAGCGAAGGGGAAGATGGAGTGCTGAGGCCAACGAGCTCCCGTCCTCGCAGGCCTGTCTCTGCAGAGAGGTGTGCAGCAGCTCCGGGGCCCATGTGACTCAGCCTCACCTCTGGCCTGTCTGGTTACTGCTTGACCCACCATGGAGGTGGCCTACGCGAGAGGATATGCTCATGATAGGAGGTCCTCTTGGTAAGGTTTATTTTTTCCCAGTGTAAATTCTTACATCAAGTGGCCTCTAGGTTTACGAGAGTATCTATGAATGCACATGTAGGTAACATTTAAAATACCTTCAGAAACATGGCTCTCTCGTCGGGTGTGAAGTCAGAGGCCAGAATATCCCAGAGCCAGATGATGACCCTGTGACTTCCATGAAAGCCACCGTAGTACACCGTGTGCTTCCTGAAAACAATGCAGACAATGTGCTCAGCCACACATTCCAATGGGCGCTTATAGACCCAGGCAGGGACGGACTTTAGCCAAGTGGCACAGCCAGCTCTGGCAGGCCTGGGTGACTCCTGACTTCTCTTAAAGGAAGATGCTCATGCCTTCGTGACCCACGGCCCTGGAAGCTGAACAGGTGGGGAGCTCCAGAGCTGTACACTCCTGTGACTCACAAACAAGAGCTAACAGGAGGTCCTGCCCTGCCATTTCCCAGAATTCTGGAGAGCCCAGCAGTCCCTGACACATGCTTAGTCTCTGCTTCCACTTCTGAGTCATCTCTAGGCAGACAAGTGGGGGGAGCTTCTGTTCCAGAGCGATTCGCCCAGGGATCAGGGAGGAGTACACTTGGAGGTGGGCTCCTGAAATAGAAGGAGCCCAGCAAGGGGACAGCTTGCTTCCCAGGAGGCCAAAGATTTCACTCACCAACCCCCACTCCCCGGCCCCAACCAACCAAACAACCAACCACTCGTTGCTTACTTTAAATCTTCCAGATCAATCTCAGCATTGTCACCAGAGATGAGACGCTGTAGCTCTGGGGTTGAGAACATCCGGGTCCACTCGGGCTTGATAATGGAGCGGAATCCGCTAATGAGGGCAGCTGTCTGGTTTTTGATTTGAGTGTGCATCCGAAAATGCGCCATCAGATGGATGTAGCTAATCCTGTTGCCAACAGGAACAAAACAGTGGGAATTAATAGGCCAGGCTGGGCTGTTACCAGTGGACTGAAAGAGGAGTCCAGTCATTTCGGGACCACTTCACAGAAACACCAATGGTACCAGGGTGTTTCACCAGAATGATGCTGATTGACGAAGATGATGGTGATGCTAGCTAGCCCTCCTGATGCGTTCAGGGCATTACCTCATTCACTCCTCCCCCAAAACTCAGGGGTCAGACATCAGGAAACACCCCCCTGTACCAAGAACCCAAGTGAGACACTCTCCAGGTAAGGAGAGGGCCCTTCTCAGTACAAAGGGTGCTTTTTGGACTTTTATTTACTATCATCCAATTAAGAGAGAATTCTGTCCTTCAGTAAACTTTAAAACAGAAAAAAATGGTTTCATGAGGAAACCTCCATCAAAGCCATACTAATCTGGGCCAAGACTCTAAGTCATGAAAAGCAAGCCTGAGAAAAGTTGTGACCAAAAGCAGCTGGCTTACACTTAAGTTCGACAGGAAGTCAGGGCACTAACAATGGTTCCGAGCAGACGGTCTTCTGGGCCTGCTTTTCTGAGCACAGTGACCTCATCTACGACTGTGTAAAATACAACACAAACCTTTTGAACAGGTTAAATCCAGTTTTGCTAGCATGACTGATTTCTTAGCAAAGAACATGGGCCCAGCACAGGTATGATTCTCCAAATCCCAAATTAGCACCCCAAATTAGCACAGTCCAAATAAAAATTTTACCCCAAAGTGCTCAGACCTGAGTTTCTGACCTTGAAAATGCATCTATTTAAAAAAAATTATCCAGCAGCAGACTTGCACACTGAAACACTAAATACGACTTTTTCCATGATCGATATCCCTTTCATACACGCTGCGAGGCAGGGTGCTGCTGTTGTTCCATTTTACCAGAAGAGAGAGGGGGACTTTGGAGGGCTTTCCCATTTAATGCCCACCAGGAAGTGCAAGATCAAATATCACTCCTGAGGAAGGCGGAACCGGCCTTGACAGGCCTTTTAAGACCTTCTGTGGAACTGAATCCCCTTGCCCTTATGCCAAGCTTTTTTGCTGAGAACATATAAGAGTTTTGTGAAGTGGCTTCCCACACAGGCCAGGCAGGGTAGGAGTCTCGCTCCAGCACAGGCTGTGTCGGCCTGCTGCTTCTGGCCGTGGCCCACGCTGTGAAACATGACCGGTCTGGGGGCGGTGGGGTCCATGAGGCACGTCACGGTGCTGGCACTGGTGACACTCGCTGCTCTCATCAGAGAACCAGACGTCTGAACCAGACATCCTAAAAGGTGTTTTATACTCATGAGCTCAGAGAAGCCCTCTGAAGGGATGGTTATAGGCACACAGCAGGGAGCAATGGGACGCGGCCCTGCTCTCTGACACCCCCGGGCAGCGCCTCCCAACCTGGGCTCCTGGCTCTTTTCTCAGTTGTCCAACTAATGCCCCGTGGCTAGGAGTCAAAACTGGTGTCCTTCCAACACAAGGAGAATCAGGCCTGCTCTTCTGACCACACTGACCATCTAAATGAAAGCTCCGCAAGCAGGCGGACTGATCCCCCACCTGACCCCAGAGGGACGCTTGGGCTGCAACGTGCATCTGATCCAAGTGACTCACCAGGTGGGACTTAGCTCTCCCCTGTCACTGGGAGAGTGACGCTCAGATTAACAGTTCAGATGCTCAGCTGAGCCTGGTGGCAGGAGAAGACTGATAGACTGACAAAAGGGCCAGTATCGACTCCTCATGCCAGGTTCTTCTGTTTTAATGAGGTGAGAACAGTGTGGGAGGAGACAGTGCACTGAGGAGTTTTGCTTCTAGGTACCGAAGAGGAAGAAGCTGACATTTACGACAGATTTCTAAAAGCCCGTTATCTATGACAATAGCTGCTGGGCCTCCGAGTCCCCCCCCCCCCACCCCGGTCTAAGGACGCGTCTGTGGCATTTGAATTCATCACTGTGTCTTCTCAAGAACAGCATTTCATACAACTGCCACATGCTATCATTCCAAAATGATCTGCCCCTCCAAGGTGTCTTTCCGCCTCTGGGCCCTGTGGGTTCAGGACTACGTGCCCGAGCGGCTCAGAATCCATTTGTCTGCCTCTCGAGCCGTCATTAAATTCCTAGGAACACCATGGCCTGGGTGCCTCTGACCTTAGATGTGCTACTGCAAAATCTTATTTTGCAAATCGAATTTAATACAATTTTGGCCTATGAACTGTAACCAGTAAATTCCATTATGATATTTATGGCCTCTTTCTACTTCAATCTATTTTAATAAATTCTCAAAGTAAGACCAGAGAGCCAGAATGAAGTCTTTTCAAGTGCTGACCTTAAAAATCTAATTGCTATACTCACTTATTTTCATTCGTAACAGGAATGGTCTTCCCTCCAGGAATCAGTTCATGGCAAACAAGCTAGGGGAGAAAATGGGGAGCAATTAGTTGAGAGGATTCTACCGGGGAAATAAGGCTTCCTGAAGATGAAAGGGCCCGCCACCGATGTCCATAATAACAGAATGAAGATGGGACATGTTTTGGAATAATCATTTTCACAAGAAGCCAGGGCTTAACTATCAACAAGCAGACCCTGCACAATCAATATGGAAGCCTTCTTCTCATCTGATCCTCATTAAAACATTCATACTGAGGCTTCGAAATGTTGTGGAGAGGACCGTGTTTGCATTAGGAGCACAGTTAAATAAATGTTGGTACAACCGTAACCTGGAATGTGTAGCTATTAAAAAATATGATGAAAACATGCATTTGTTGAGAAGGTGGGGAAAAAAATAATATATAATAACACGCATGGTATGATACCGTTTCTGGGGAAAAAAAAGTAACAAAGGTGCCCCGGAAGAGAATTCTGAAAACACACAGATGACATATTAACAGCAGTGCTCTCCAGGCACTGGTGCTCTAACTGGTTTTTTTCAGATACTGTGCTCATCCTATCGTGGAATCTGTGGTTAGGAGTTTGCATTGTTTCTATCATCAGAAGAGAAAATTCTCAGGAGGAAGGCTCAAAATCTGATTAAAGATTTGAAAACTGCGGACTCAAGTATTTTCCTCAACTTCAGGCATTTCTGGGGGTCACCTAAAAAAATCAAAGAATGCATAATTTCAAAGTTAATTTTAGCAGAAATTCTAATAGGATATCCTGGGTCTCTGATGATGCAGAAAGGAACGATCGTGGCCTCTAGGTCCACCGCTGCGAACACCTTGAGGCAATCGGAGGACTCTGAAGCTGGGGCCTCTGACCCAGCTTGGTGTTTCCCAGACAGGGCTCTAGGGAGCGCCTGGTCCATGTGCTATTATTTGGAGAACCACTCTGGGGGAAGGCTGAGGCTCCTCCCTCACAGGCCGGTCAGAGCGCTCCGCTCCCTCCCACACCAGCGTGCTAGGGGCTCTCTGCAGGGTGCAGCCTGCGGGAGTTCACAGCGTCAAGCTGGTCCCAGAGAAGCGGGGCTCAGGGAGACTGACGGACCTCTTGGAGGCAACGTGGGCTCGGCTCCAAGAAGCCAGCTCTGCACTACGCAGCTCTAGGTCCGGTTTTCCTCGCAGCCCTCAGAACACGGGCGCACAGAGGCTCATGCAGGTGTCCGCTGGGACATCTCTGGAGGGCGCAGAGGGCACTTCAGGGAAAAGCCAAAAGGAAAACTCTGGGAAGAGACGCCTCTGCTGTCACAGTGTCGACAGTCTTTTCTCCCTGCTCTGCTCTTTGGGACAAGCCGGAGCAAGGACTGGATTCTGTTCGAGCCACCTCTCCAGTGGCTTCTTCCCCTCTGCAAATCACAAGCCTCCATGTGTGATAGCTAATCCTCACCATGGCAACAAAAAGCAATGTTACAAATGGGGAATTAGAGCTCCCATCAGGAATGACCCTAAATGCAATCTAAGCAACGCGGGGTCTCTGTGGGGAGCTCTCTGAGGGCCCAGCAGGCAAAGACCAGGTCAACTGGTAATGGAAGGGGGAACAGCCCCTTTGCTGGCGAGGTAGGAATTGGGGGATGGGCGAGGGGGCCAGGCACCAGAGGACAGGCAGCCCTGGTTTGTGGACCTCCCGGGGAGAAAACCAAGAACGGGGCGGGTCCCAGGAAGCCAGTGGAGGGCGGCAAAGAATTGCTGAGTCATAGAGGCCGACCTACCTGACCCATGACGTCCTCATCGTACGACAGAGTCAGGCCCAGGTCAGCAATGTCCCCGTCATAGCGCTAATGCAACAGAGAAGGGGCAAGTGTTGGGACCCAGCAGGCCATATCCTTGAAGGCTGTACCACATCCCGTCCTACCCAGTACTGCGTGGGCAGGACCACCGTGGCCGCCACCGGGCCTGAAGCAAAGGCAAAGGCCGATCGTCACTGTGAGCAAGGAGGTAGGAGTTCCCAGAAGGGGACATGGGAGTCTCCGGAAGCTACAGAGTGGCCCCTGCACCAGAGCAGGAAATCGCCTCCCACCACATGGGAACCGTGAGGCCTTCACTTGGCAGAGCTCACACCAGCCAGCAGCTACGCCCGCCATGTCACACTGACCTTAATGGAGGTGAGGTTTTTATAGAACTCCGAGTCCAGAGAAGGCAGCTCGTCCACAGAGCTGTAGAAGATGCTGTGGTGGTGCCCGAGCAGCTGGCTCAGGAAGAAGGATGCGAAGGGCACATCCACCACAATTCCCTACAAGAGGGAGATAGGAGCTTGCCGTCTGCCACCTCAGTGACCCTGTCGGGGTGGCTGGGGCTGCAGAGGGGCTCTGAGGGTGCCAAGGACATCGCTGGGTGCTTCCTAAACTTTGGAGGCGGAGACCAGTACCTCCCAACTATAGGACACCGCCAAGCACCTGTGGGGGCCGGCAGAGCATAGCAGGTAAAGGCACAGGCTTCGGAGCTGCGCTGCTCAGGGACCCAGCCAGCTGCGCTGCTGCCTGGCTGCGGGCCGTCGATCTCTCATCTATAAATGGGGACTGGCACAGCCTCCCAATTTTAAGGTTTAAATGAGCAGGGTGGAGAGGAATGCAAAGCATTGGCTCTCCATTAGATCCAGGACAGGGTAGTCTCCAGGAGAAAGACCTATCCAAGCTGGACCTAAGCAGCACAAGGCCTCTCGTACAAGCCCCACAGGGATGCCCCGGGGAGGGAACACAGAGCTCTCCGCACACAGCACAGCGTGCAAGGGAGGGGAAGGGAAGGATCAGGGCCAGATCTGGAGGGGCCTCCTGAGGCTCCTGGAGTCTGACTTCTATCTGGAGGGCAGCAGGGAGCCCTAGGAGAGCTCCAGGCAGGGACGTGCCAGGTTGTACTTGGTGTGGGGAATGGACCAGAGGAGGAAGACAGAAGGCAGGGATGCAGCAAGGAGAGGCAGACTGTTCCACGTGGAGGGAAGCATGTAAGTCGGAGAAATTTAGAAGGGACAGGGGCTCAGGCTCGATGATGACCTGTTTCAGAGGACAGCGAGGGTTACGTGAGTTAATGCATGCTACTCCTCACATGGGGCCCAGCATGTCCTAATTTCTCTGCACTGTTACTGCTGGAGAGGGAGGAGACAGACGCTGGGTCCAGGGGAATAGGGGAGGACATTCACAGAAGTCACTGGTCCGACTCCTGTGGGCATATCACAGCTACATGTTTAAAAGAGAAATGTGGCATATGGCCAGGGACATCCTCATGGGATTTCTTTTCTAAATGGGAATCAACTGAGAAATGGCGTCCATTTTGCAGATGTGGAAAGAGAAGCACAGAAAAGGAGCCCAGGCCCCTGCAACCGATCTAGGGCGGGAGGCAGCCTGAGGAAGCCTGGGCAGGGATGCAGATGGGGCATCTGCCAGCACCCCGGCCAGGGACTGAGGCCACAGACACCGAGAATGCGGATGCTTGCCCCCACATGGCCTCTCTTCCTGCCTCTCTCCATTTGCTCCAGCCACCGGCTCTGCCTTCCCCAGGATTTGTGCCAGGTGAGGGGGAGTACTGCTCAGGTAGTTTGGGAGTCCACTGTGAAGGCCACAAGCTCCTGCTGCAGCTTTCCTTCCGGCCTGGGGAGCAGGACCCTTAGGGTAGGGACCAAGCGTCCCTGGAGGGAGTTCTGCTGGCTTGGCTTGCAGTGGACAGGGATCAGGACCTGGGTGGACCGCTCCTGCTGTCTACATGAGTCCACGCCGCCCTGACCCCACAAGACCGACGAGCCAAGCAGCACAGGAGGTGTCTTAACTCATTTACTATCTGCAGCAACTCAATAACATAGCTTTTATTGTCCCTACTTCCGGACAAGAGCGAGGGCCTATAGAAATAAACAAGCCGCACTCGCACAGTTCCCGGCTAGCCAGGGAAGACCGATCTCGACCTGCTGTCCTGCTCTGGTTCGTAGGCAACACCGAGATGCCTGTGGCTTGCTCAGAAGCACTCACCCCAGTAACAAAGGATTTAAGAAAACAGCTGTAATGACTATCACACCCCACAAAATGCTGCCCTCCTACAATGGGACCATGCTGGCCTGGATGTGAATCTGGGTTCTACCACTTAACTAGCGCTGATACTCTAGACAAGTGACTTCCTGAAGCCTCACTTCTGTCACCGGCAGGTAAATGGGACAATGGCAGTCAGGCCACAGGACAGGCAAGATGAAATGACACAGCACATGGAAAGCACCCAGTGTTTCTGTTCAGTAATCTTGGGTCCCGTCCTCTTTCTTGGGCTCCATCCTAATGACAGGGACTTTATGTGGCTGGGCCCAGCCAGGACACCATGCACCAAGTCCCCGGGACTTCTAGCATCTTGTTTTCCCTCCCGGTGCGACGCTCCTGCACGTGCCTACCTCGTACACGGCCTTCCCCAGCATCTTGCCCACAAACTCGAAGAGTTGCAGGTAGTTCTCATGAATGTAGGACGTGGGCGAGGGGTAGAGCCTCTCGTCCCCGCTGGTTGTCTGCAAGGGAGAAGAACAGAGAGAGGCAGGGAGCCAACAGGCCTGGTGCTTTGCTTCTCATTCCTCACCGAGCTTTTGGCTACCGTCAGCCCCGCTCCTGCACCCCTTAAATACCTTGAATAGATTGAGCGCCGGGTCGAACACCCTCTTAATGATTTCCTCTAAGAACTCCTTGAATACGCCGTCCTGGTCAATACCTGCCTCATCCACGCCGAGGTCATTGACAAACTTCACGCGGATGACGCCCTTCATGGCATGCTGGGAGAGCTGCCGGAGCTGCTCGTAGCCGTCCTGCCAAGGGCAGAATGGCAACCCGTTAGGAGCGGGAGGCCCTCTGCCCAACTCATGGCTGCTGCTCCAAGGCTCTGGCTCCCCTGTGTCTAGGCTTCCTGGCATCATTACTAAACATGCGAGTCAGGACGTGGGGTACGGGCACAGGCAGTTCTCACCCGCTTTTAAATGAGCCTGTTACAAGGGAAACTCATTTTGGGGATGTGACTCCACTGCTCCATGGCAAGGGGAGGCCGCCCTGAGACAATGCAGAGCACGGAGGTGGGGAAGGCAGATAAGATGAGCTGTGACAAGCTCCTGGCTGTCAAAGGACAGAAGTAACTGGGACAAGACCCCACCCATTTTAATGCAAAGACTAGCTTATTTAGCTCATGATAAAAATCCGTCAAACTCAGTCAAACCCCTTCAAGATGAAAAATGAAAATACCCTCCCCCCATCAACTCCTGGTAGCCTTCCCCAGGTCATGAAAGGCCTGGGTGAGTCAGGCTGAGGAATTCAGGGTCCACCTGGAAGGCAGTGGGGGGCCACAGAAGAGTCCAGGCAGGGTGAGATGTGACGGACTTTCTCCAAAAGATCTTTGTTGGCAGCAGGGCAAATGGCAGGGACAAGGGTGCGGGAGTGATGCTGGGCCCACATGAGGCAGGGGGAGCAGGGAGGAGCCCCGCACAGCCCCTGGCCAGCAGCCAGCCCGCGAGGCACGCAGCCATCCACACAGAACTCTAGGATGACACTTTAATGTTCTTGCACTCCATTATCTTGTTTAGTGCGCCTCCCGATTCTAATCTGTTGAGGTCTTCGGGCTCCTGGTTCTGTCACCTAACGTGTTCCTGGCATCAGCAAGCTTAGTTTAGGTTTTTGTTTCCGAGGAGTGACCGTCAGAAGCAGTGCTGAACAAGACCGTGGCCAGGGAGGAGCCTTCTGGTCCAAGACGAGAGGCCCTATCTTGGGGGTGCCACCGAGCTCTTTAGATACTGTCGTGTAAGGAGGAAATCCACTGCAATACCCCACTGAGGCCGCCCCGCGGGTCTCCCTCCCAGTCACAGCCGTGGTGCCATCAGACATTCTGCTAACATGAGACAGACCATCTCCACGGCAGCCACCTGCCTGCCGGCCTGGTCCCCTATCACTAAGCACACGGGGCCAGAATGCCAAGAACTGCTTTGGGGAACTCTTGCCGCCTTGCTGCTGATCATATTCCCCTCGTAATGCAAAGGACTGTCCCTGGTGGCTTCTGATCTTATCCTGGGGTTAAGCTCCCAAGTGGAGAGCCCATAATAACAAACTCTGGAAGGCAGAGGCTTTGGGTGCGCAGTCCCAAGAAGCACCTGAGAAGTGGAAGCCTGAGAACCACTGAGTGAGAGGAAAAGCAACAGAACACAGAAAGTCAGCACGCAGCTGCAGCAGAATGGTTAAACCGTTCTGCCTGCATTTATGGTAATTATCCTGGCATGGAGTCACGGATGGGTGGAGAATTCCAGCACATTCTTGCTTGCCTGCAGATTTCCTCCATTCTGCTCTGAGATGATGCCTCCCTAAGCTGACTTCATGTTGGCAGGGGTGCCAGGATCACGCCGATTAAATGAGATGGTGTTACGTGCAAGCACTTAGCACACAGCCACATGCAAGGCAGGTGCTTAAGGAATGTTCACTGGAGTCGAATCCTACTTCTTTATCAGCCCCACGTTGGCCTTTTCTTTGAAGAGCTGTAGAGCGGAATGTGCCAGCTGCTTCCTCTGACAAAATTTCCTGCTGCGCCCTCTGGGCACGAGCGTCAGTACATGAGAACTGGATCTGCGTCCTTCCTTTAGGAAGGTGAGTGGGAGGAGGGTATCCTGCACCTCAAAGAGCAGAGGCAGAGGACTCTGACCTGGGGATGAGACTGGCTCATGAGAGCCTAGCTCTCCCACTGAGACCTCCGTGAGCGTGACTGTGAATCCCAGTTCCGCCTATGACTGCGGGGACAGGGCTGGGCAGAGGATGGTTTATGGTTCCTCCCAGTCCTGAGATGCCAGGGTCCCGGCCCCAGTTTACCCTCTGTGAGGGAAAGCCTTCCTGCAAGACTTCAGACTAACACCTGCACGGACAGTGCGGAAGCACACCTTCAGTGAAACCACAGAGGAGACTGGATAAAAGGCCAGAATCACACAGGAGTATCTAAGATCAGTTTTTTGATGCCCCCTTGTGTCCAAATCAAGCAAATGCCACTGGGCTCCCCTCTCACAACCAAACCAGCAGGTGACGAGAACTAGGGTAACTGAGTGTGTGACCCTCCCCCCTCCTAGTTCAAAAGGAACAACAGTAATCTGTTTCATGACAAGATGGACTCTAAGGGAATATTAAAAAAAAAAAGCAGACTTGGCCAGGAACAGACCGACACCCCCTGAGGGCTGTGTTTGAGGAAGCAGGCCCAGGGTAACCGGGACATGGGGTGAGTCTCCCACAAGCAGCGACACTTGAGGAGGGAGCCAGAGACTCTGTCACTCTCAGGACACACACCCATCTCTACCACCCCAGCCTTCCTGTTGGTGCCAGCCACGTCTGAGAGGGACCGGGGACCGTAAGGGACGGGAGGAGCAGGTGGTCTCTTTTGGTGGGGGCACGAGTTTCCCAGCTGCCCAGCCCTCTCTACTGCTCGCCAGCCCTGAGGCTGGATATCAGGTGTCATCGGCCGGCTCAAGAGCAGGGCTCTTCCTTAAGCAGTTACCTAAACTGAGGCTGTGTTTCAGGAAGAGCAGGAGGGAGCAGTGCAAGTCGTATTGCTCAGCGTGCAAACAAGATGCTCTTGCACGGACACACTCAGCCAGCCTGACCCATTCCCATGACCAGCAGGGTCCCTGGAGGCACTTAAGTCTCTTCTCTCTACCTTTAAGAATGTCAAACACTTCCAGTTACCACACACTGCCTCTCCTCAGCAGACCCCTGTGTCAATCGCCAAGGTTCAGGGGAACTAAAAGCAGCTCTCTAGCGAAGGAGTGTGAATGCCCCAAGGGGTAAATGAAATTGTGGGGGAGGGGGAGGAAGGGCTGCTGCCAGTGCCATTTGCTGGTGTCTGGCTATGTGGCCATGTGGCCACGTGCCGTCCCGGGACCCCACAACTGCCTTATGCCGCAAAATGTGCTAATGAGGGGTTGTGGCTAGAGCCAGAGAGAAGGTCCAAAGAGCAAGCAGGGGCAACTATATCAAGTCCAGCCTCTCCTGGACATGTAGACTTGAGGTTCAGTCACCAATTTGACCACTGGCAGGCTCAGCACATTTGGGTAGGCTCCACACTGCACAACCCTGGGGGTGGGGGTGGGAAACGGCTCATAGTAACCTCATAGGCAAATACATTTACTATAACAACATTCCAGTAGATGGTAGTCAGTGTCGTGTTCTGACAAATTCATTCAGTTATTATGATTTTCTGACATAAAGAGGTAAAGTGTTCTGAAGACAGGCACCTGTCACAGGCAGGTCACACTGGACACTGGGTTTGGCTGAGGCAGGCCACTTCCCTGTTTCTCCGAAGTTCCCATCTACAAAGAACTCCTGGCTGTGCAGTAAATGCACCCGTCCCTGCAGTATGACTCAGTAAACTTGCTACCTACACTCCACCCCCCACATTCATGGTTGGGAGTCTGGGCAAGATGTCTCCCAGAGCAAAGGGAGTTTGCACAGACATGAGAATGCCCACATGCAGCACTTCCTATCCTCACTGCAAAGAGCACAGCGTCTGATGTTCCAGCCCTGGGGCCCTCATGGGGAAAAGGCAGGGAAATACCATACTATGGGTCCCTAGCACTGAGGTCACGTTTAATCAGGCAGCTCTCTGGAGCACACGACAGGACCAATGGCTCCATTCCAACCCCAAGCCTTGACTTCAGTGCTATCAGATCAAGGAGTGACAAGAATGGTTGGAGGCAACAGATCATGCACTGAAAAGTCCACCTCTCTGGATGGGCTTCTCACCTCCAGCATCCGGGACCGTCGGATAGTGATGTGAGTGACGTGGGGAGAGGCCGAGCTGGTCTCCACGAGCCCTAGCTTCTCCTTCTCCTTGGTGACCATGTTTCGAAACAGGAGAACTCTCTGAAATGAGCAAAGGTGAGACCAGAAACTGGGTCAACGACTGATGATTCCCGAAGACACACTATACAAGATTAGTGAAACCAGTCATGTAAGAGGCAAGCGGAATGAAACTCTCTGATACGTGCTGCAGGTTAGCAGTGTCTTGGGAGAATAGCAGACATTCCCCCAAAATCTGGGGAATTAGAAATTATAGCTAAATACATGCCAAGGAAGAAAGGTCACAGAAAGAACAGTCTGGCTGCAGCCAGAGTCCATGTAACAATGGTCTGAGAGAACATTGTTCTCATTCAGTTGATAAATCACTACAAAAACCTGGCGGCAGGACAGGTCACCCAGGGTGCTTTACAGAGCTGTGCTTGCTTTAAAGGAGATCAATGTCATGGGTTGCAAAACAGAAACATTTCAAAGATAATTCTTTTCACTGTCAGAAATTTAAAAAAAAAAAAAAAAAAAAATGATCCCACAGAATAAAGGTCTCTGACCTCAAGCACACCAAAAGCCTGCCCACCCCCCACCCCTACCCAGTAACATTTCTCAGTCACTGTTAGAGAAGAACCCTCTCTCCCCCCATGGTCAAGACCCTGAAAAGCCCCTTGTAGGAGAGCACGATCCTCTGCCCCATCCCGAATATGAGAATCACTCTGTAAAAGCACTCAGATGATGTCAGCTGAATGAAGAAATAAATCCAAAGACTGCTCTGTTGTTATTTTTTTAAATGAGAATCCCCTCAAAAGTCAAAAGCTTTGTTAAATACAAACAGGACAGATGGAACAGTAACAATGGTAATAAGGATTAACTGTACACAGGGGAGGCTAGTGCGTTCCCATTTGATCATTTAACTGGCCATGAAATAAATATAGCTGTAGCAGGAATGGCCTCCCAGGGAGGAGGAAGGTTATTTAGCAGAGGAACTACTCCTCAGCAGAGCAGCCTGATGCGGCCGGTCAGCGAGTCCAGAAACAAGGACTGAAGTGCTCGGAGTAGTACCAGAAGCTCCAGGGGTTCCAGGACAACATGGAGGGGAAGAACAGACTGAGCGACAGTGAGGGCAGCTATGATGGGGTGAAGGCCACTGTCGCCTGTCCCGTCTGTGCCGGGGGACTGTTGACTTCCAAAACAGGTCTTTCACTTGTGAGCTGTGGGGCACAACTACTTCCTCTGCTCCCAAATCTGTAGAACGATCACCTGCACATGAGGCAGAAGACGAGCTTCCCATCTGGGTGAACCCAGTATGGGGCAGAGACCTCATACACGGAAACAGGAGTGCAGAGGTGGCTGAGGGACTGCCCGTCGCCCAGGAATCCCCGGACAAGGTCCTGATTTCCATGGGGCGTGGAAGACAGTTGGAGGCAACTGTAAGCAGGGCTCAAGGGGCTGAGGCCTCAGTGACCACAGGAGACGTCTGGGAAAGGACCCACTGTGCAGATGAAGAAACTGACTCACTCACCCAAGGTCCCAGAGCTGGTGGACAGAGGAGCCAGATTCAAACCCAGGACCAACACATAGCCATCACACCACACAACCCTGCCCACCCCACAGGGCATTAGGCCTTTCAGGCACAAACAGTAGAAGAAGAACTCAAGTCCCAGTCGGGAGATGAATCACACAGACTAGTAGAAGCTACGTAAGACGGCACAGAGAATGAAGTGCTGTGTATGTGAACCAGGCAGAGTTGAGGCCTTCAAAGACGTTAAGGGAAGTAAGAACAGCGTTGTGAGCCACCCACTTGAGTGAGATCAAGAACAGGGAGGGTTTGGCATTTAGAGCAAATGCCATAGTGACAGACTCAAGAGAGCAGGCCGACTGGGGAGACCCTATTGCCCTGTGCATTCCAGCAAGACGTGTCAGCGTGAGGGCAGCACATGCCTCATCAGGACGGGACACCCTGTGACACACTGAGCCACAGATGCCCTCCTGGACCTGCCCAGGCCATCATGGGATCAGGAGAGGGGCCAGGGGCCAGGAAAGGTCCCAAGAGATGGGAAAGAAAGAGTTCATGAACCAAGCAAAAGCCCTGATGGCAATCTTCAGCAAAACTCCCCAAAGCAAAAGCACAGCAAGGATTAGATTATAGCCCCCAAGTCATGCCAACTAATCTCAGAGGTTCCCAGGCTTCTTGCTTTCAGCACCCCCAAGGGCTCAATAAGGACTTGCACAGCACTCCTAGGTCTAAAGAAATACAGAGCCATTTACATGGTAGCTAGGGTCCTAAATCACTGAATGTGTTTGTGTGCACGGGGCGCCTGGGTGACTCAGTTGGTTAAACGTCTGCCTTCAGCTCAGGTCATGATCTCAGGGTCCTGGGATCGAGTCCCATCTCTAGCTCCCTGCTCAGTAGGTAGCCTGCTTGTCCCTCTCTCTCTGCCCCTCCTCCCTCTGCTTGTGCTTTTTCTCCTCTCAAATGAATAAATAAAAATCTTTAAAAAAAAGTAAGTAAGTGTATGCTAAGGGCTTAGTAGCCGTATTTTAAAAATACATGTATGTTGAAATTAACAAATTTAGCTACCTTTTTAAAACCCAGCTTAGCAAATAGGACATCCTCAAGCGAAATGCTGACAATTTGAGCTCAAGCTGGTACTTCACAGAGTGGCCAACAGATTTCACTGTGCTCCTCTCAAAAACTTAAACTGCCCTGTGACAACCCAGGGGCACGCGGGGATGCCATCTGTGAACTGAAGAGACACAGATCGGATTCCAAGGCTGCACAATAAGGGAATGCCACGGTCCAGGGCTGACTCTGCAGGCACGGAGGCCCAGGGCGAGGTGCTGTGTCTGCAGCTGGACTGCAACACAGTGGACAAGGGCCCGGAGATGAAGGCCTGGAAGACACTTCCAGAGTGGTTGCAGAAGGGGGGTGGATTCCTCGGAATCCTCGGAACACAGAAGACCCAGAGGGCAAACGAGTCATCTGTGCATCTCAGAAGATTTAGATTCCACTGTCAGTGGCTGTTCAAGAACCAAAGGGTAGATGGTACAGAGAAATCACTCAGTTTCAGGTGAGGAAGAACGTTCCATCACTGGGCAGAGTAAAGCAACAGCACGGCTGGCTCTGCCAGGCTGCAGGGCCTCCATCTGAGGCAAAGTCAGGGCTACTGTCAGGGCCTCCCTCGGTGGGGGTGGGGGTGCAGAGGGGGTGGGAGAAACGTTTCACTAAGTTATCTCCACGAGATCCCTTCATTTCTGAGAGGTTCTGCTGTCAAGTGCAATAACAATTTAAATAGCCACATCTGTCTGCGTATCGCTCCTCGAGGGAGAAGAACAGCAATTGCGAGTATTAACGTCAAGGTCAAAACAATATCAGAGAGCAATGAGAAGTAAGTAGCTCTGAAAAATAAGGTGAATAGATGTTCACATTTACAAAAATGTGACCTGTGCTGTTTTCTAGAAATGTCCTGTCAAAAAAGAAGGAAAGGAAAGAAAGGCACAGGAAGACCTCCTCTCAGTGATCCCCGTATGCAGCATCCAGCAGACATTTCTGGAGCGTCACTACGGACCAGGGACGGGGTAGTGCCTACCCTTGCTTTCCGACACTCTCACCACAGGACCCCATCCTTCCCGAGCCTCTCACGTCCCTTGAGCCTGGAACACCACATTGCTGGTGTCCTTCCTCTTGTTAGTCCTCTCCTCGTGCCGGCACCGGCACTCTCAAGGACAGGTCCCTGGTCATCTCACTCCCTCTGGCTCCCTGACCGTCCTGTCCACGGCCATGGATGCAGCCAGATTTGGGTGCTGTCCATATGCGGAGTGTCTCTCCAGCTCCGTTGCGCAACGGCCTCGAGGAGCTGCGGACGCCTTGCCTGTTGCCTACTCAAAGCTGACCTCACCAGCACTGCCCAGACCTGCTCTTGCCTGTGCTCCTACCCCAGGAAATGATGACAACAAGCACCCAGGAGCCCAGGCCAGAAACATGCCCACCACCTGAAATCCATCTCCTCTTTCCTCTGAATGTCTTCATTCTCATGATTCTATGGTCTTTCCTCTGCCCCTGGCCAGTCCTCTATCCCATGGCCAGAAGGAACTCTCTAAAGCATAGGTCTGACCAGGGGCCCCTGAAGCTGAAAACACTCCAATGACTCCAACCAAAATCCACACTCCTGCCCTTGGTTCGCAAGGACCTTCCAGTTTCAACTCCTGTAAACCTCCTCAGCTTTCTGGCTCCCCTGTGTGTTCTCCGCAGCCAGACCACATGGCCAGCCCTCCAGAAGCACCAACGCTCGATCACCCAGGCCTTTAATCACTGCCTGCTTCTGCCTCTGGAAGCTTCTCCTGACTCCCTTCCCCCATTCCCAGCTGGGGCAGGTCCCCTTGACTGGATGGGCCCTGCAGCATGCAACCCACCTGCCTGAATTGCTAGTTCCCACCGTCTTCAGTCTCCGTACTTGGCTTAACAACCTGATGTAGCAGGAGATCAATCCCCGTTCGCATCTGCTGAGTGAATGAGCTCATGTCTTTCTCTCCAACTGCTATAGCAAGGGCAGGTCAGGTGCCATGTGGTGGGACAGAAAGATGCTCAGAAGCCCAGCTCTGAAAGCAACTCACGTTTTTGTGGGGAATGACGTGTGGGATATACTGCAGGATCAGCTGGGCCCGTTTCCGGTCCTTGTCCAGTTCTTGGAAGAGGACGCTAGGTTTGAGATCCCTTCAGAGGAAAGGCAAGGGTTTGGGGTTATTACAACACAGAAACCATTCTCTAGCGCAGGAGTGGCCAACCACAGCCTGCTGCCATTTCTGTAAATCCACTTCCATGGAACACGACCACTACACACGGTCTCTGGCTGCTTTCACGCTACAATAGCGCAGCAGAACACTTGCAAAACAGATCATCTGGTCTGTTAAACCTGAAATGTTTACTGTCTGGCTCTTTACTGGAAGCATCTGCCAGACCCCGCTCTAGTGCCACAACCTCAGAGTGGACACATCATTGATAAAAAATGGCAGTCATCTTACGTTTAGTTGTTGCAAGAGCATTTCCCCACCCCATCCAAAGCTGTTTTGTCCGGCTCATTTTGCTGATAAAAACCACCGCTGAACTACTGCAACCTGCTGCTCGGCTCAGCCAGAACTTGCTCCCCATTTGCGAAATGGGACTCGGCTCTGTCACCATGAACACACTCTCATCACCCTCAGTGTCCATATGTCCTCACAGATGTGACTGCTGGGCGTCTGTCCCCCAGGAAGACAGGGCATGCAGGAGGGATGAACACCCCCCAGCCTTGGAGCATGAATGTGGAGTGTGACAGAGGGGACTCTGGCTTTTGTGAACCCCCCTTCTGTGCCCTGCTCCTCACTTGCGCAGCCAGTGGTCCTCAGGGGCGAAGCGACGCCGGCAGTCCCGCTCATAAAGCACCATCAGCCACCCGTGCACGGACTGGAACAGCTCCAAGGTCTCCCCCTTGGCGTTCTCTGTGGGGTAAACGAATGGGGGAGCCGCACACCTAGAGCTGGTCAGAGCTGGTGGGGGTGGGCAGGAGGACAGCTTCTCATCTCTGCCCGTCACCAGGCCCCACCAAGGTCCTCATCTCCCTCACTCTGGATTTCACACAGCAGCGACAAACTATAAGGCACCCTGGGTATGTTCTAGGAGTCTACAGGACCTGGGTGTCCCAGACACAATCACTCATGCTGCCTCCCACTAACAGGTGATCCAAAGACCCTTTTAACCTAAGAAGCTTTGTACTGAAGCTTTGTACTGAACAACTTGCCAGCACTTCAGGAGGGGAGCTCTGGTTTGAGGTGTGCCCTGACACATCATGGAAACTATTTGGAAGGAGCAAAAGGAGAGGCAGGGTGAAATCTTGGCATCAATAATCCACACATACACATACATGCTGAGGGGAGATCTAAGACGACCTTCACATAGAGCGAAGAAGTAAAACTTCCAATTATGTGAATAAATATGCCTTTCCAATTTGCTGTGATGGGCAATAAAGCTGAGAATCAGTTGGTGGTATAGACTGCAGCGTCCCTGCGTGTGTAACACCACTGAAATGACCGCCGGCTTCTTTACCTTACCTACGATTCCATCCCAGATCATCTTAAACACAAAGGAGTTCAGGAAAGAGGAGATGGTGACCAGCTCTTCCAGTTTGAATGAAATCTGTTCTTCATAAACTTCAATGTCGTCAAGAATCCTAAATTAGATGGAAAATTAGTCACAGCTTCCCACGGAGGAAAGGGGGGAAAATAGGAAATCTCTATCTCTTACAAGAAAAAAATTAGCTCAAGAAATAAACTTTATCTTTCAGATAAAATTTAGAGCTAACATGACAGGATGTGTAGGATCTGCTTCAGGATAAGGCGGAGGGGAGAGCCTGTGGGGGTGGCAGGGAAGCAGAGGTGGCCGAGTGCTGACCACTGCGGATGAGTAGGTGGGGATTCCTTCTACTATTTCCTCCACTTTTTATTTATTTGCATTGTCCATAGTAAAAATTTTAAAAATATAATTGAGACAGGAAAACAGAAGCTCTCCTTTGTATCTTTCTTATTTATAAGGATCCGACTGTGACACCCTTAATTCCTGCCTGAACTCATGCCTATTTGAGGACTCTTGATTGAGAGTCTGGGTCTACTGAGGGGAGAGCTGTGGAACCTTCCTCTGCATTCACAACAGCCACATAAACAAAAGTATTTATGAGGGAATGAATGAATGCCTAAAAGAACATGTGAGGAAATGAGCCATTTAAGATACAGCTCTATGTGAAAATTTCCCAAGGCTGCTTCATTTGCAGCAGAGAACATGACTTGCTCTCAGATCATGCTGGACCCAGCCATTCAGGGTGTCTTCAGCTGCAGTCACAGAGCCCTGAGCTCGCCTCCAACAGCTCACCAAGCCCCTCCCTCCATGACTCTTAGCCAGTCTGCCACCTCCAATTCCTGATCTCCTCCTACTGACCAATGTCTTCTACCCTGGACAAAACTGTCTGGGGCCCCTTCTCTCTTATAATTCTTTACCAACCTCTTGGAAAACGTGGTATTAAAAAAGTATTAAACACAAAAGTAGACACACAAGCTTAAAAAACAAAGGAACTTAATGGGACTCACATTTGCTATTTCCCCGCTCTGTCCCAGGCACTGTACCTGAGAACTTGACGTTCTTTTTCTCATTTATTCCCTATCAGGTTGCCAATATTATTCCCATTTTACGAAAGGAAACCGAAGCTCAGGGAAGTTAAGCAACTTGCCTAGGGTCAGCTTGAGAATAATAAGCATCACAGCCCTTCCTGTGTGCCAGGGACTCTGCCTAGCACTTTGTTACCTCTTTCAATCCTTACCACACGGCCAAGAGGCATGGGCTACTGTTGTTCCCATCTACAGATGAGAAAATGGAGGCTCAGAGAGGCGAGGCCCCCTTGCCCAAGGTGTCTCGGGAAATGGCAGACCCAGGATTTGCCTCCCAGCTCCCTGGCTCTGGAATCTTCCATGGAACTACCTAACCCAGTGAGTAAATGGTGGAGGTGTGACTTGAACCCAGCTCTGGGAGACCCAGAAGGGGTCTGGGTCATCCACTAGAAGGATGGGAACTAAGAACTGCTGAACCCCGTTATGTGCTGGCCCACCTTATACTGTAAATTTTTTCTGCTCTAACTTTCCTAATGACCCTGCCACAGGGGTCCGAACGATGGCGATAACCACACCAGCAGCAGCTTCCTTACTGACACTGTGATTTGGCTTCTCCACATTCTAGGAAAGGAACGGAGCCCCACAGCAGTCAACCTACGTGATGAGGTGCCGGGAGCAGTCACAGAACAGCATCAGCATGGCCAAGAGCTGCTTGGACTCTTCAGTATCATTGCTGAGGCATTCCAAGAAGAGCTTTAACCCTCCGTGGGGCCCCAGCTCACAGATAAACGCCCACAGTTTGGGGAGCAGGTCATCAAGGTAAGTGAGACCTGGAAAAGGACAGAGAAACCCAAGCTTCAGGTGGGGGCTCTATTTGGTCCACAGTTTCTCCTACCCCCTGGGGGAACAAAACACTTATCCTTCTCAGTGGACATTAAATGTGCACAAAAGAAAATCGTTATCACCACGAGAGTAATGATCACAGTAATAGCTAACATTTCATGGGTGCTTTCTAGGTTTCAAATGTCGATCTAAGTACTCTGTATGCATTATCTCCTTTCTATTGGGAGGAAACCCAATGTTACCTCCATTTTATAAGAGAAAAAAACAAAAACAAAAACAAAAACTGAAGCAGGGAGAGGTTAAGTAATTAGCCCCAAATCACCCAGCCGAGCTAAGAAGAGAACCCATGTCTGTATGACTCTGTGTTTTTATTTTAAATCGGATCGGGGGCGCCTGGGTGGCTCAGTGAGTTAACGCCTCTGCTTCAGCTCAGGTCATGATCCCAGGGTCCTGGGATGGAGCCCCACAGCGGGCTCTCTGCTCCGCAGGGAGCCTGCTTCCCTTTCTCTCTTGCTGCCTGCCTCTGTGCCTACTTGTGATCTCTCTCTGTCAGATCAATAAATAAAATATTAAAAAAAAAAAAATCAGGGATCAGCAAATTTTTCCTGGAAAGGGCTGGAAACTAAGTATTTTTTAGCCTGTGTGGGCCTGGGCTAGCACCCTGTCACACTACTGCAAGGTACCAGCGTAGCACAAAAGCAGCCACAGACGATATGTAAATGAATGGATGGGACTGTATTCCAATAAAACTTCATTTACAAAAAACCAAGTGGTGGGCCGCAGTTGGCCCCCAGGCTACAGTTTGCAGACCCTGCTTTAAACCATCTTTCAGATTCATCTGTATTTAGCAAAGCTTTCCTCTCCTCTACTTTTATTATTCTATCCCTGCTCTCCCTAAATGGGAGAGCAACGAATGACGGTAGCAGAGATCCTGTGAAGTGTCACACGAATATTTAACCCTGGGTGAAGCAGAAGACTTTTTAGATCTGCCTCCTGATGGCCTCAAGGCCTCAGACATACAGGCTACATCGCTGTTACATTTTAAGTCTGTTAATACAGCTACTGATTCAGAGAGCCTGGGCTCTAACTTCCACGTGTCTCTGAACACACAGTCAGGTGTGTGCCTCAAATTACTCCTCATATTTGAGTCCTTAGAATACCTCTCATTTTATAGAGCATTCTTGAATTACTTAATCGTGAACAAAGAACTGCTTGGAGAAGATGTATCTGCCTGCAGCAAGGGCACAATGACAGACTCAATCAATGCTGGTATAAACGCTTAGACTAGGGAGGCCGGAAGGAGCCACAGAGAAGGCAAAGAAACAGAACGCCCACTTAGTTATTATTCCTAATGGTTTGAACCCACATTTTCAAGGTAGCAGAATGTGGTTACAGAATGCAGAAACCAAAAAAAAAGAAAAATGCAGAAGCCTTGCAATTTAGAAATAGATTAAGAGAGAAACAGAGTGAGTAGTTAAACCGTGGAGACCACAAATATGCTCCCATGGGACAATCAGGAAAAACAACTACTTTCACATTATGCGGATGTGTGTAGGTGTGGATGAAAATACTCATTGCCAGCCCCGGACACAGATCCAACCAGCGCTGCTTCTGGGGGGCAACTCCAGCAGAAGCGAAGATGCAGGGCTCTGGAGAGCTCTGCCAGGAAGCAGCATGTGGCTCTGGGCCACCAAGTGCACGTGAGGAGCATGAGCAAAGAAGCGTATTATCTTCTACAATCTGCTTTGCATGTTGATGGACAGACCGAATAGTCTACAAACAGTTTAGACTAGTTCATCTCCTTCTTAAAAGGACAGATTTTCAAGTTAGCCAGGAAAACTTCTGCGTGCTCTCACAGGAATAGGGGGTGCTTGAATTTGTAGTCCTTAAAATGCTGAGCACAGGCCATGAACTCAAAGTCATGTCACTTTAATATGCTTCTCAAACCCTCACAGTGGGTGCTGGGGTGCCAGGCCTGGTCTGGGACCCTATTCATCTCTTTCTGAATTCTCCTGATGGAGCCTGCCCTGGGCCCAAGGCTTTACATGACACCCCTTTGTCTGTACCCACAGTATACTCACGTGCCTGTGTGGCATCACGCTTCTCAGAGCGGAACAGAACTTGTCGTTCCCCACCAGCCCCACCCCCAGCTGGTTGTCTCCAGCTCAGCAGATGGTACCACCATTCAGGAAGGCTGCTTGGGCCAACACTCTGGCCTCATCTTTGAAGCCTTTAGCCTTTACTCCTCCAACTCCAATGGACCCGTCAGACCTGCAGACACAACCTCTAAAACATACGCCAAGGCCCCTGCTTCCAGCCTCACCACACCAGGCCTGTGCTATTCAACCAGAGACCGTGCTGCCCCCAGGTGGCACCTGTCAGTGTTTGGAGACCAGGAGGGCTGGCACAGCTGGGGAGGGGGAAGCACTACTGGCATCTCGGAGTAGGGGCCGCTACCCTGTAGTGGACGAGATGGCCTCCACAGCAAAGAAGTATCAGGCCCAAGATGTCAGCAGTGCTGAGGCTGGGAAAGCCTCCTCTAATCCAAGCCTGCACTGTCTCCTTACTTCTGTAGTCACAGAGCAGAAAGAATTCTAAAAAAAGTAAAAAAAAAAAGTAAATACTCTTTTCCCTTGCCTATAGCTCACCTCCCCACTCTTAGAATCCTCTTGGGAAAGGGACCCTGGCTGTCTTAGTCACCTCTTCACTCTCAGGGCCTGGCACAGACAGGTCCTCTGTTACTGTCTGAAGATGAACAAGTACGTGTAAAAGACAGAAGTAGTGGCTTTAACCCTTTATGTAGTCGACAGCTTTATGGCCTACAGACTTTCTGTCCTTCGCCATACTGTTCATATGAACAAGTCCTGCATGGCCGTGGGAAGCCCCAAATGCCCAAACTCTGTGTTCATGACACAAACGACCTTCTTCCTTGCTCGGCTAAGAAGGAAAACAACAGGCACATCCAAGTGATGGTCAACTATGAGGTCAACAAAAATGGAATTCTGGAAGAACTGCTCACAATGATAAAATGCTTCTAAAGTGATGAACAGAAAGGGAAGGGTAGAACTATGCATTTTCATCTAAACATACGTGTATGTGGATGTGGTACCCTCAGGAACAGGTGGTTATCCTTGGCCTACAGGATCAAATATGGTCTAAGTTTTCTTCTTTCTTGTCTTTTCCAGTTTTTCATTCAGAAAAAGCGCTACCTTCCGAAAGCAAATGCATGGAAATACAAGCCAGGTCACAGGAATGAACTGGCAGCACTGGGACGGAGGTCAGTGTGAGCCATTTAACGGAGGTGTATCAGCCTCTAAGAAGAACAGCTCAAAATACCCTCCTTCAAAAACCTATCTTCCGAGCCAAGAAAGCCGGAAGAAATTCCACTTTTTCTAAGACCCATCATCCACCAAATGTCAGAGATGGACAAAGACGCCCCAGGACTGCACACCTGTGAGTATCTGCAGGCGGATCTGGGTCAGAGTTGTCAACGAGGTCTGGTAGAGGACACAGATGTTGCAGACCTTCTGGACCTCTGCAGAGTCCACACGCTTACCCCCAACAGGCCTGAGAATATTCCGAACGGATGCAGACTTCTGAAACGCACGCTTCAGGAGATCTGGCATGGAGAGGAGAAGAAATGTGTGAGCAGACGTTCAGCCATCTGCCCAGTTTTACTCTGCAAAGAGCATTTCAATAAAGTGATTTACAGCCAGGGCTGGACACTGGGGCGGCTGCTCTGACTCAAGTTCTCACTCTGGGATAAATGAGAAAACCATTAACAATAGGCTTTTAGGTGCAACCCAGAGACCTCTTCAGAACACCAGAAAGTATCTCAGACCAAGCCAGGCCTATTCGACTCCCACACGGGATTCTTTCACTAGGTCACCTGACCTCAGAACCACAGGGTAAAAGTCCAGAGGATGATATTAGGGGAAGATGGGCGAAGACGGTGGGGGGTGGAGGTGGTCCTGGGGGATTCCTGGTTCTGGGCTTTAAGGGAGAAGCAGTATCAACCTCAAGTAGGTTTGGGTTGGCCAAACTCGGTTTGGGTTGTACTCGACTTCAGTTTTAGACATTCCTGTTTACATTTCCATCCTGCTGAAGGGACACTGAGCTCCTGCTCATGGACAGCTGCACGATGGGGCTCCGTGCCACACTGGAAGAAAAGTCACCCTGAACCTAGAAATCTGCCACAGGCAGGTGACTCCACCGGATTCCGTGTTAGTGGCATTTCCTGAACTTTTCTCAGAGAGGGCAACAAGAAACCTTTCCACAGAACCTATGACTAAGCAAAGGGGCAATGTGGGGGTGGCCCGGTCAGTGACCCAGTGTCCTCTGCATACAGACCCCCACATGGGAGATTTTCATGAATAGGGAGTCAGAAAGGGTCCACTTCCCCTAAGAAATGGGCCTTCTTTCTTTGTGTTAATGAGTAAGAGAAGATCCACAGACCCCCTTTCATTCTAGCTAAGAGAAATTCTGAGCCAAATGGAAGTTCACAGACCCCACTGCAATCCTGAGGGAACATCCATAATCTCTACACATGATCGTGGTCTGGGTCACCTATTTGTTTCTCTGGTCCTTGTTTCCTAGCCCTAAGGGTTTTCTGTTGCTCTTTTGCTAAATGTGAACTCTGCTGAAGCAATCTTAAAGCCTGTGTGGGAGAAGTTCAAGTGTCACAGAAGTGGAGGGGCGCAGGCACACAGGAACAGCAGGAGCTGCACCTGAGCTAAGCAGACTCACGGGCTCCCCCCGGTCCAGCCACTCACTCTTCACAGGAAGCACATTCTGGGGGGATGCTGGCTGCACATGGGCTGGCTCCTGGTTCTCCAGCAGCTTCTTGCTCAGAATGTCACTGAAGAAGATCCGGATCAGAGGCACCCCCCACAGGAACTGCAGCTGCTTGGTGATCAAGGGCATGGACTCGTTAAGGCTAGGAGAGAGCAGGAGACCAGGCATGTCAGTTCCACCTGATGGATGGCCACCGACAGCCCACTCAGCTCCTAGTGGGCCTTCCACTCGGAGGGCTGGGCTACGGCCTGCCAGTCAACATGGCAAATGAGAGGATAAAAAAGAGAAATGGGATCCACAGATGCCACCAAGGACCTAGATGCATAGGCAATGTCCTCTTGGTCTTCTCTGCCACCCTTCCCAAGCTTCCTGTGCCGCCGACAGCATTCCTACTCAACCCAGGGCCCCAGGCTCCCCACGGCACAGTCCTCCCAGACACCCGGGCTCTGTTTTTCATCCTGACCCCACCCATTCACCGACAAAAGCTAAATGATGCTTGCTGTACTGTCTGTCCTCTTCTTCACACCTAGACTGCAGGCTGGCCTGTAAGTCTCTGTAACCCCCAACCTCCTAAGAGTCTCCTTCCCTTCAAGTACTCCCTCCCCCACTCCATGCAGTACCCCCAGCATTAGACTCACGCCTGAAATCTGCCTACTTTACCTCCCGGCTCTACATTCCATGAAGGCTCCCGTGGGCTCCCAGTATCACAGGAGAAAGAGCCACCACCCACGAGCATGGGCCAAGCCTAGAGGCAGGCCCTTGACATGCTTTATCTCATTTGATCCTCGAAACACTATCCAAGGGACTGGGAATATTTCCCTATGTTTCAGGACTGGAGAGAGGGGTAAAGCGGCTTGTCTAAAGCCCCCCAGAGCAGACCAGACTGCACAGTGCTGTGTTCCTCTGCCCTTCCTGCCTCCCATACTATCCCTCCTGTGTCCCAGTCACATCATGTTCCATCCTCTTCAGGCTGGGGTGTCACATGGGGGCCTGCCACCAGCTGGTCAATTGTCTTTCCAACTAGACGGCTTACAAACATGAGGAAGAGACGCAATCTGGGGAATTCCTTCCCTGCTCCTCATTCTTTGCTTCCAGGGCAGCTTCCAGGAACCTAGGCAGATATCTGAACAGAAAAATAGCTGGGAGCCACAACCGCCTTCACTCCTAAGACCTGCCTTATCTCAGTGAAGGGTACAGGTTTCACTTTCAAATTCATGATGCCGTCTTAATTGCTCTCTTCTTGCCTAGCATTTTTAATGTTTTTGAGTTCTGTAATTAAAAATTTTTAAGTTGATATTCCACCTCTTGAAAAGGATGAGGTGACTTCTATCCCCTTTCAATCAGGTATCTTATTTTAGCATCTCCAAAGTACAACAGTCTAGGGAGTGAGGAAAAGCGATATTGAAAAAGAAAAAATAGTACTGACAGAGGAGATTCACAATTTACTAAAGAATTAAATACAAAATAAAATGACCCCCAAACAATTGCTGATATTTACAGGTAAAAAAAAGAAACTGAAGGGATATTCACGCAGGTAGTCTCAGGGTAGTGGAACAATGGGGTGGTTTTTATTCTCTTTTGGTCTTATCCAGATTTTATTCAATAAATATATATTACTTTTGTAACAGACAACACAACGTCAAGCTGGAAGAAGGAGGGAAGGAAGGGGGAGGTGGTGAGAGGCAGGCAGGGGACAGGAAAGACAGCAGTTTGCCCCCAGGACTCACCCGTAGTCCACTGACTGCGAGAACCAGCCAAGGACAGGGTGCCAGTGTGTCAGGTTGGACTTCTTCTGGGACACGTACTTCTGACAGTAGCACAGCATCTGGGTGAGCAAACTCACGAACCCGTCCGTCTCCTCCTCTAACACCCTGGGGCTGAGGGCGCCCAAGTGCAGGAGGTTGCCTACAAACAGAGTGTGGAGAAAGCGGAGTGTGGCGGGGCCGGGTGACCTCCTGCGTCACCTTCACAGCCCTGCTCTCTGCCCAGGGCTCTTGCAACCATGTCCACGTGCAGAAACAAACTCCACGCGGAGAGGTGCCTGGCTTCAAATCCCGGCCCTGCTGCAGAGGAGCTGCGTGCCCCTCAACCCACCTCTCCGATCTGTTTCATAATTCTAAGACTGGAATAAGGCTCCCCACTCCTGAGGTGAGGATGACGGGAAGTAACGTAAAATGTCGGAACCACAGAGGTATGATCTTTAGTGAAGTAACACTTCACTATTACACTAAGATATAAAGATCAAGTCAGTGTAAAAGGACCTCTGGAAGGGCATCTCAATGTTCTGGGAAATCACTGTTCAACGCTCATGGAAGTTATTTAATATGCCTCGTGTGTGGACTCTCACCATAAACTCTCTTAAAATTTTGCACAAGAAGCTTTTTCTATGTAAAATAGCTTCTAAGCGATGAGAATTACGTACCACTGTTGATTTCAAATGCTTCTCTCCATTTGCTCCTGTTCTGTCTTCAATCATAAGGAAAACGTTAAAAAGATGATGCAGGCCCTATTCTGATCTAACACCCCCGAACTGGGCCTGTCTTCCTTTCTTGAGAGGAGAATTATCCAGGTGATTCATCGCATTTTCATTTTTCCCTTGGCTGCCAGGAAGCCGAGCGCCGAAATTCAACATTCATTTATAGTTACTCAACTAGGTTGCCAGGCTGATATATTTTCCATTGATTTTCTATTTTATGTGTCTGTTTTATCTACCTGATTACATGTCTTTTAAGTACTTCCAAGTGTTACTAAAAACAACTCATGATCTCCAGAACAGTAAAAAACAAACACACTTGGACTTTTCCCGACACCCAGAACACAGTCAAATTCCAGCCACGGATCCTCACCCATTAGACAGAGTGTATGGCATCCTTCTAAGCTTTCACATACATCACGGCATCGATCTTCATTTCTTAAAAATGTGATGAACTTACGAAGCATGTCATGAGATTCTAAAACAGTGAGGCGCTGCAAACAATTGTAGATGGTTAGAGTGAGAGCTGACAGGAGGAATTTCCCACCAGAGCATGACCTTGATGGCTTGCAGATCAACACTTGGATGCCAGACGTGCTCTCCATGGCCAGGAAGATAGTCAACAAAGATGGGAACCTTGCTCTCTGGCCTGCTAACACGAGTGTGCCTACAGTGGCTACTGGCTTAGAAGAAATCTCAGAAGTGGAAATTAACAGAGAAAACATTTATTCTCTAATTTCTAAAAAGAAAGGCAAACCCAGACTCGGGGGGACATCACAGTCACTTACCTCAGGGGTCACTGTGCTGAGATGCGTCACAAGAGCAGGTACAGACATGACGTGGATGAGGAATGGCTGAATCAGATTGTCTGAAAATTGTGCGGCAATCACAGGGCTAGACACAGACAGATCACCTTATTCACACGGGTTTGTGAGTCACCCCAGAGCCAAAGAACCACTCTGCCAATGCCCGCAATTCCCCTGGAATTTTGCTTCACAGGACTTCTGGGAAAACTAAAGGTTGATGATGAGGACACCGGCAAGGGGAGTGGCTGAAGCAGGGACAGTATAGTCGTAGGGTACAGCTACGAGAGATACCTGTTTTCAAGTTTTACTGACATGAGAGAATATCCATGCTGTAATAAACTTTAAACAAAACAGAATAAGGAACTATGTCCATGGGAGGCGAGGGAGGAGATAATAACCAGGAGGAAGGAAAATACCTTCTGGAATGCTGGCACAATGCTGGGGAGTGGTACTTATGCAGGCGGGTTTACTATGCGATAACTCACCAACGATTTACACTTCGATTAAGCAATTTATTTTAAGTATGCATTATGATAATAATACTTAGATATGTACATACACAGATAAGCCCATAAGTATATACAAGTGAAAAAAACCCAAGAAAGACCGATTTTTAAAAAATGTTAATGATGTCTAGGTTGCAGAATCATGAGAGACATTTTTTCTTCCTTATACTATCCTATTTCATCCAGGTTTTATACAATATGCATGCAGTTCTCCATAAAAAGAAAAAAAGATAAATGTTATTAAAATAAAAGAATGACCCTTATACTGCACACCATATATAAAAATTAACTCAAAATGGATTATACACCTAAATGCTAGTTAAAACTAAAACTGTAAAACTCTTAGAAGAAAACACAGCAGTAAATCTTTGTGACCTTTGGTTTGACAATGATTTCTTACATAGGAAAAAGAAAAATCACAAAAATCTGGAGCGCCTGGGTGGCTCAGTGGGTTAAGGTCTACCTTTGGCTTAGGCCACGACCCCAGCGTCCTGGGATGGAGCTCTGAGTTGGGCTCCGGGCTAAGCAGGAGTCTGCCTCTCACTCTGCCTCTGCCCCTCTACCTTGCTTGTGTGTGCATGTGCTTTCTCTCTCAAAATGGATGAATAAACTCTTTAAAAAAATTTAAAAACCACAAAATCTAAAACTCTTGACTTCAAAAGACACCATCATGAAAGTAAAAAGACAACCAGCAGAAAGGGAGGAAATATTTGCAAATTATCTCCCAATAAGGGACTTTCATTTGGAACATACAAAGAACTCATACACTCAACAACAAAAGACAACCCAATTAAACATAGGGCAAACACATTTTTCTTTGAAAGACATTAAATAGACATTCTTCCAAAGAAAGAAGAGCAAATGGTTGCTAAGCACGTGACAAGACAGTTAGCATCGCAGGCCTACTGGTCAAACTGTAGGATCAAAACAACAGGAAGGGATCACCTCACACCCAGAAAGAGGGCTATGATCAAGACGGTAACAAGGGTTGGTGGGAACCTGGAGAATCTGTAACCCTCATGTATTACTGGTGGGAATTTAAGATGGTAAGGCCACTTTGGAAAAGTCTGGCAGTTCCTCTAAAAGTTTAGCACAGAGTTACCACCTGATCCAGCAATTACACTGCTAGGAATACACACAAAATGAAAAACAGGTCCACACGAAAAAGCTACACATGAATGTTCACAGTAGCACCACTCAACATAGCCAAAAAATAGAAACAACCCAAATGTGGCATGGCCCTACCACAGAATATTACTTGGCTATAAAAACGAAGAACGGATGCATTCTTCTTCTTCTTCTTCTTCTTTTTTTTTTTTTTTTTTTTGAGAGAGAGAGATCACAAGTAAGCAGAGAGGCAGGCAGAGACAGTGAGGGAAACATGCCCCCCGCTGAGCAGAGAGCCCAATGCAGGGCTCGATCCCAAGACCCCGAGACCATGACCCGAGCTGAAGGCAGAGGCTTAACCCACTGAGCCACCCAGGCACCCCTGGATACATTCTACAACACGGATGAACACACGGTGCAAAGTGAAAGAAGCCAGGCATGGAAGACCGCACGTTGTAGGATTCCATTTATGGGAAACGTCCAGAACAAGCAAATCCCAAAGATTAAATAGATTAGTAGTTGCTGGGGACATGGGAAGGGGGAGGGTGTGGGAGTGGGAGGGAAGGCATGTGGCTGGTAATGGCTATGGGGTTTATTTCTGGAATTAGACAGTGGTGATGACTGCACAAGTCTGTGATCTCTAAGAGCACCTGGGTGGCTCAGTCGTTAAGCGTTTGTCTTTGGCTCAGGTCATGATTCCAGGGTCCTGGGATTGAGCCCCACATCGGGCTCTCTGCTCAGTAGAAAGTCTGTTTCTCCCTCTCCCACCCTCCCTGCTTGTATTCCCTCTCTCGCTGTCAAATAAATAAAATCTTTTACAAAGTAATAAAAATTAAAAATAAAAACCAGTGAACTGTATACTTCAAATGAGTGAAATGTAAGATATGTGAATTATAATTCAATAAAGTTATTTTAAAAAACATCAGAGGTCGTGCAAGAAAAAAAAAAAGAGGTAGAACTTATAGGAGGAAATTGATTATCTTCTAGCTAATGTGCTCCAATGGCAACAAGCAAGTATGTTACCGGTACTTAGACTATCAGAATTTGAATTATAAACTTTCACTGTCAAGGGTACCATTTTTGGGACAAGAAAACTACGTACGGGGGCGCCTGGGTGGCTCAGTGGTTAAAGCCTCTGCCTTCGGCTCGGGTCATGATCCCAGGGTCCTGGGATCGAGCCTCACATCGGGCTCTCTGCTCGGCAGGGAGCCTGCCTCTTCCTCCTCTCTCTCTCTGCCTGCCTCTCTGCCTACTTGTGCTCTGTCAAATAAATGAAAATCTTAAAAAAAAAAAAAAAAAGAAAAAGAAAGAAAACTACGTACGGCTGAAATGCTCAAAACACCAGAGCCTCTGTTAACCACCTGTCTAAAGGAGGCTGAACAACCAAGCTAAACTCACTGAGCTGACTTGGACAAAAGAGAATTCTTTAAAAAGAGAATTAAGTTACTTTCTCTATGTTAGAAAGAAGTGTGGATCAGGACTAAGCAATTACCCAGACAGAGGAAAAGCAAACCACAAGAGAATGTCACCAAAACTTTAACTCATCACTTCCTGCTTGCAAGGGAACAACTGCATCTCCAAGGGGGAGCCAAGGGCAGGATCCCACCCTAAGTAACTCTGCCTGACTGACCAGGAGTGAAGCACTACAGGACTGTAAGGAGGCTAGTCTCAAAAGACCACACCGACACACCAGACACCCCATTCCCCTCAATGCCTGGTTATCTATAGCCCCAGCATGAGGTCATCAAAATCTTCCTTTAGCCTTGTAGTTATTGCACTTAAGCCTCAGGTGACAGTGTCCTGCCAGTGGTACATTTAGCAGGATGCACCTTATATGCACCTTATATGCGGGTCTCAGTGGTAGGCATGGCAGGGGAGGAGAGGACAAGGGAGGTTCACTGCACAGTGCCCACCCACAGAGAGCTCATTCTGCAACCAGGGAGCGGGATGGGCACATGGGAAAAACAGAAACCAAGCCTGGGCAAACCTGGGGCCTGGGTAATAAATGGAATGAGGAGAATTTGAGAAAGTTCCCACATGCCACAAATTCAACATATATTGTACCTAGAATAAAAAAATGTGTCCAATAGGTGAGGCAAGTAGGCAAGTAGTAGGAGTAGAGAGCATGGGCTCTGGAGTCAGGCAGCCTGGGTTTAACTACTGGCCTGCCACTTCCTGCTGTGTGACTGGGGGCACATGGCTTAACCTCTCTGGGCCTTAGCTTCCTCACCTATAAAACTGAGATTGGAGAATATGGTGAGTAGTCAGTTAATGTGAGCAGAAGTCTTAAAACAATCGTGTGGCCCATGAATGTTAGCTATTTGCAGCATAAGATTTGGTGATCATAACTAAACATACTATTTATAGTTTTGCAGACTTTCAGTAGTATACTCTAGTATGAAAAATTCACTAGATATCTTGTTTTAAAAAGTCCTGGTCATTTTCAATTACATACAGATATTCAGAGGGGGGGTGAAAGGCGCACTGTTGAAGAAAAGAGCTTCAGAGCATCCCAGCCTTCACAAGTGAGCCAATGGACTCTATCCTAGGGGGTGAAAAAACCTAAAACGCTGGATGCCACTGTATTCTTAAGGGAGAATAAACATGCTGGAACAGCTGGCTGTGACCCTCTTGGTGAATTAAACCATGAATTACTACCCTCTCGGGGCAGGGGAGGGACACTGGAATAGAAGGAAAGATCTGTGTTCTCAGGAGACAGAGGAGGAGGCAGAGCTGCTGCTGCTGCTGCCCCAGAGCTCAGGCATTCATGTGTCAGCCCTTTGCTGTCCCTGACAGAGCAGAGGGTGGGTGATACTGGAATGAGCCGCCCCAGAAGGTGACTCAGGAAAAGAAGTTGCAGGAAACCTCCCGCTGGAAAACCTGCTTCTACCTACATCCTATGACTCATTAAATATAACTCCTTTCAAGGTCTGCGAGGAAGGTATAATTTACTAAATAACCTGGTCGACCTCTGGAACTAATTATAGCATCACTGGCTGACACCTGCTCCTCTGTCTCAAGGCTCTCACCTCTAGAAACGTGCTGTCCAACGCAGTAGCCAGTGGCCATGTGTGGCTTCCGAGCACTTAAAATGTGGTTAGTTCAGCGACAGATAGGCTTTAAGTATAAAATCCACCCCAGGTTTCAAAGACTCAGTATGAAAAGAAAGAAACTATTTTTTTTGATGGGTTTTAATTTTTTTAAGATTTTTATTTATTTATTTGACAGACATACATCACAAGTAGGCAGAGAGGCAGGCAGTGTGGGGGTGGGGGGGGCGGAGCAGGCTCCCCGCTGAGCAGAGAGCCCGATGTGGGGCTCGATCCCAGGACCCTGGGATCATGACCTGAGCCGAAGGCAGAGGCTTTAATCCACTGAGCCACCCAGGCGCCCTGAAAAGAAATTATTAAGTTTATAATTTTAACTAAAATAAATGATCTGAAAGCACTGACTTGGACGCCTGGGTGGCTCAGTGGGTTAAAGCCTCTGCCTTCAGCCCAGGTCATGATCCCAGCATCCTGGGATCGAGTCCTGCATCGGGCTCTCTGCTCAGCAGTGAGCCTGCTTACCCCTCTCTCTGCCTGCCTCTCTGCCTACTTGTAATCTCTATCAAATAAATTAAATAAATAAAAAATTTTAAAAAAATAAAAAAAAAAAGCACTGACTTCATGTAGAAATGATTATATTCTAGATATAATTGTTTACATAAAATAGATTACAATAAAATTACATAAGATTTAATTTCCCCTTTTTTTGGACTTTTTAAATGCAGTTCTTACTATATTTCTATTGGACCAGGCTGTTCTAGACCAGCCTTGTCCAACAGAACTTTCCATGATGATGGGAATGTTCCTTATTTGTGTGGTCCAGTAAGGTCATCACTGCTAAGTCACATGTGGCCTGGAAGCACTTGAAACATGGCGAAACGAGGAACTGAATTCTTAATTTTAATGTATTTCTAACAGCCCCTGGGGATCAGTGGACAGCACGGTTTTGACCAGTGGCTCACATATGGTTCACAGACCAAATTCTGCCCACCGCATATTTTTCTAAATACAGTTTTATTGAAACACAGCTCTTGTCGCTTGGGTATGTATTGTCTAGGCTGCGGTGTGCTGCAATGGCAGGGTGGCTGTGACAGACACTGTGTGGCCCACAGAACCAAGAATGTGTAGAAGCTGGCCCCTTACAGAAACAGTGTGCCAACCGATCCTCTAGAAGATCATTTTCCAAAACAGTATTCCGTAGAAAAGGACTCCATGAGACATTAACAGACACGCTCCAGCACTGAAAAATCAGGCGAGATTATTGCACATTCAGGAAGGTTCAGGCCAACATCAGATTAAACAAGCCCAAAGGTTCCTGAACCGCCAGACTTGCCAGACTTGTCGAGAGCTTCCCGTGGTTAAGTGCCCTGTGGATTAGCAAGGGGGGGCAGAGCAGAGCACTCTACCAAGCTGATTTGATCACAACACTCCCTCTGCCCTAAGTTTATTATTACCTTGGGGATTAAGGTGATTGGGTTACCTTATTAACCTCTTCCCCCAAGTTAGTGCTGCTTTTGACAGTTTAAGAAAGTTCCGGACCCAAACAGACCCAGCTCTGTGTACCTGATGATTCTCAGAATTGCAGGCATCATTTCCAAGGGAACTAGTTAGCTTCTTACATATTTTCTATCTCCTAAGTGAAGGCAAACAGCATCTCCTCTCTGGGCCTCTAGATTCGAACATTTTTAAACCTGTGTTCACAACACTACTCTCTCTCTCTCTTTTTTTTTTTTTTAAAAGATTTTATTTATTTATTTATTTGTCAGAGAGAGAGAGAGAGAGAGAGAGAGAGAGAGCGCGAGCAAGCACAGGCAGACAGAATGGCAGGCAGAGGCAGAGGGAGAAGCAGGCTCCCTGATGAGCAAGGAGCCTGATGTGGAACTCGATCCCAGGACGCTGGGATCATGACCTGAGCCGAAGGCAGCTGCTTAACCAACTGAGCCACCCAGGCGTCCCCACAACACTACTCTCTTAACCCTCTGCTTGGCCCTTTGCTGGGCCTCCTCCAGCTCTCAGGTTCTATCAATTAAAAGCTCAAAAGGACAAATGCTTTTATCTCAGGCCCTTGGCACAATGAAAGCAATTCACTTTGAAAAGCTTCTTTCGAATCATGATGCAAAAACCTCAGGGGCACAGACAGAAGAGCTGCCACAGATGGTCACCATCGGAAGAACGACACTTCCGGTGAATTCTGATAAAGCAGTCAAGCCCACACCGAACATAAGGAACAGGAGAAAAGGAAAGCAAGAGGAGGAAGCCTCTCGAAGTGTGCCAACCCCTCAGCCGGCATCTACTACTTACCGCAGCGCTAGAGAAAAGGTTGCAGTTAAAGTGCCTTTGGACAGACAAGGCCGGGGTCTCGCCAGGCCACGGGTTAACAGTACCTGAAAAAGAACATTTCAACTGGTCAGGGGACAACACCAATTATATATTCACTTGTATGTAAAAAAGCAGCATGGAAGTAAAATGAGAGCTTCAGATAAAAAACTCTATTGGAATTTTTCTGAAAATTCTTCTGAAAAGAAGGGAGAGCAAAGTAAGGGTTATCGCCTTCATGACACCACGCCATCTCTCAATATCGTATTTAAAATTTTGAAATAATAAAGAGCTAAAAAAGTTTACAGCCAGTGAAAATACCAGACTTAAATCTCGTTTGTGTGTTCTTCCCGTATTCTGGGATCCAGAAGCTTCTCTCATGGAGATGAATGGCTGATGACACCACCTCTGGCCAGCAAGCCAGCTCACAGGATTTGTGTGAGGAGAAAAGGCAACCCAATCAAGAAGGAGCCGGCCCATCTCACTACCAGGCAGAAGGGCGGGCTAAATCAATGCTACTTCTTAAACTCAACAATCCCAAAGTGTTTTTAAACAGTGGTTAGAGTTCTGACAATTCTCTGGGGGTGTGAGCTGGCACAGGAAAGGGCGGTGTGGACAGAAGGTGTTTGAAGACACAGCAAGAAAGGTAATTCCAGATACCACCCAAGAAGGAACCCAAGGGAACCAAGCCCGGAGGCGTCCTTCCCGACTTTAAATGTCAAGTGACTGGGTTATTCCTGGAGCCAAAGATGGAGCACAATAGAGGGATCCCTGGGCCACTGTCCTCCCCTGACACAAACCACAGGGGACTCAAGGGAGGGGAAGGGACAGGAGGCCAGGCCTTAAACTCCTCTTGCAAAAAGGTTTCTGTGGGGAAGGCACCAGATAGACCAAAGAAATCAGTTGTAAAAATCCAAGTTCAGGTAGGGAAGAACAAGGTCCCATGATAAGGCATGGGGTCACAAACCTGAAGCACAGAATAAAACCCACACTGGTTGAGATGTCCCATGATGTTTGCACAAATGTGGTTCATGGCTGGCCGAAGACTCTCCCCTAAATGAACAAAAAGAAAAAAAGTCTAAGAAGAAAGGCACTGGCCTTACTGTGAACCATTTATACGTGGGACAGAACATCACGGCCCAGGCCCAAGGCCATAAAGGAAGTAGAAAGTAGATTTTCTCTGGCTTGCTTTCCTACTCCCATCTTTGGTTTGGTCCTACTGTACAGGGAGAGACCAATCGCCAGAATTCTCTCTCCCAGAAGGTCCAGCTCAGGTGTCCCCTCTTAGGCAAGGAGTCCTATCATTTGCCTGGCCAGAGGTAACACAAAGGGCCGGTAGCACCCTTCCTAATTCCCCCTGAGGGCCTGGCACTCTCTGCTCTCTGTGGCTGCCTTCTCCCTGCACCGGGATAGAGCTCCCTGGAACTCAAGGACAGAACTCACCCAGTTTTAAACCACCCACCAACTCTCCGGCTTTAAAATTACCCCTCCTTCCTGGCTGGGAGCCTGTGCACATACAGTTGCCTCGGCTCTCAAAGTGTTATCCCTCCCCTTGGCTCTGAACGCTAACCCTCCCTCCAGCTCCTAGCTCAGACATGGTTCCTGCAGGAGAGCCTGAGCCCCAGACACAGCAAGGCAGGTCCTCCCTGACCCACTGAATGCTCTCCCCTCTTGTAGCCCTCCTTCCAAGCACCACTGGCCACACGTACATGTTCACAGGTACTGTCTGCCTATTTGCACATACAGTCACAGGTCCGTGACTTCCCTTTGGGGTCCGTCCCCCTCACCAGACTCCTCAGAGCTGTGAGGAAGGGCAGACACACAGTTGTTTGGCTCCTAAACCCCCTTGAGGGCAGCGATCTTCTCGGTCTCTCTGGCACCTGCATGGCATCTGGCGCCGAGAAGGCTATTAGCTGAACGGAAGGATGAAGTGAACATACGAAACAGGTAAGGCTCAGCGCAACCTCTGGGGAAAAGGAGGCAGCTTCACGACACAAAGTTCATGGGCAAAACAGAATTATTTGCTGCTCAGTGATCCTGATGTGAATGACAAGGTAAAGCAAATATTATCGACTGGAGACTGAGATGCTAGGGGAGTTTTCAAAAATGAGATCAGAGGGACCAAGCCTTTGAATATAAATGCAAAGAGAGGAGAAATTATTAGAACACTGAACAAATTCTTGATACTGCAAACGCCATCTAATGGAAGTGCCAAGGGCATCTTCATTTGTAGGGTTTTACGTCTCTCCCTGACTTATGGCAGCAAACATGCTTCTTAAGAAGGTGAAAGTTCCCCAGGCTCACTACGCAAATGCCACATGGGAAAGGTTTTGTAGCAAGTCCCACAGACCTTTCCCACGGAGAATTTTCCATGTTGAAGTGTCTGTGAAGGTGACGAGCATCGTGAGGTACAGCGTGACGAGTCTGGAGTCCTGTAAAATTTCAGGCTGGAAACAATAAAGAGACTGAGATGAGACATAAGCCCTCCCGTCTCCCACAGCCAAGCATCCATTCACAACTGGCCTGGATGCAGGCTGGCCTCCAATAAGGGAGTCAGGACTGTCCGAGTTTATCCTTTTCCTTCTGGGAAATGACCCCTTTGGGAGTTAATGGACAGAGATACTGGCACACTAGTGCTCAAGCATGGAATCTGAAGTGCTCTTGGGAACGGAGAAGAGAATTCTTGGAAAACAGGCTGACTAGAGCTGGCTTGCTGTGTATGTTCATACACAGACATGTATGCATGCGTGTACACTAAAGCCACAGTGCAGAAATCCAGCTGAAACACAACAGGGGACTCTGGGCTCAGATGGCTAGCTTTACCACTTCCTAGCTGTGTGATTTATTTAGGCCAAGTTGCTTACCCTCTCTGTACTTGTTTCCTCGGCTGTTGACGAAGGAGTAGGACCACTGCTTTCTCCATAAGCTTGTTGTTAGAAATGAATGGATTAAAGTATATAAGGCACTAAGAACAGTGCCTGGCACATAGGTAACTCCATGGAATACTGGCTATTATTATAACCACAATTCATGCTTGTTGCCAGGTCAAGGCCGAGTGAGTCATTCACAAGTGCCTTGAGGGAGAGGGCTAGGAATGGATCACTGGGGGCTCTGGGAACCTCTACTCTATCACTCAGCCACGACCCAAGTCACTGCTAAGCCTCTGCCCCTGAAACCTCTCCCTTCATCGTGCAAAGTGAAAATGTCCGCTGTTTCCAACGACTCACACCCTTGCCCACATTCTCCTAACACAAGTGTGAGTACAGGACCAGGAAGGGCCAGTGGCAGTACCCCATCCCTTTTGCCACTGTGACTAGCTCAAGGTTGAGATCAGGTTCCCAGGGTGCCTTTATCAGTCCTCTCAGATTTCTAAACCAATGGGGGAATCCTCACTTTTCTTGTTGGTCAAGACAGGGTAAGGATGTGAGGTCAGAACCGCTGGCTACCACGATTTCAAAAGGGAGCAGGGATGAGATAAAAGGGTAAGGAGAACCCTAGAAGCTCCTGGTTCTGGTCATCCCTGGCTGCCATGCTACAGAGAATATTCTATCAAAGACAGTCTCTTTCTCACTTAGCTTGTATGTATTACTGGCTGCACTGATGTTTGGTATCTGCACTTGCAACAAAAGGCCTGATACAGTAATATAAGCAATAAATTATCCGTTGTGTCAAAAAAATGGAAAGAAAGCCAACAGATTCCCAGGGATTGGAGACTGTGGTAAGTGCAGGCCAATGTTCAAAATATTGCACAGAAAAGAAAGGCTCATTCTGATAACAGGATCTAACTCACTCTTTCAGAACAAGGGCTCTAATAATTTCTTACTAGACTCGGACAAACTTCCAAAGGAATAACCTATGAAGGACTCTCAAAACATGTACTAAAGGCCTCCAGTAAGAGGGTATATTCACAGGTGTCTTGTTTTGTTTTTACCTTGAGCTGCTCAAGAAACTCACAGCAACACCAAAGAATGTGTTTGATCTGTTTAATCCACAGGAGGGTGAGATCCTTGGAAAGGGCCAGGGACACATACCACACCTATAAGCAGGAGAGAGAGAAATGTAATGGGCAGGTACGGAGACCAAAACACGTATGTTGTAGCTACTGGAAGGGGACCCGTTTGCTAGGTCCAGTGCCAGAGAAGGCAATGGAGATGAACGGGTGAATAAGCAGTGAGTAGGATTTATTTTAACGCTAAACCCAGGGATAAAATAGGCTAGGAAGGGAATTTAGTATCTTGAGTAAGTGGTAAGAGCAAACCATAGCTCTTGGATAATGAAGAGACTTAAAAAAAAAAAAAAAAAAAAAATCGGGGCGCCTGGGTGGCTCAGTGGGTTAAAGCCGCTGCCTTCGGCTCAGGTCATGATCCCAGGATCCTGGGATCGAGCCCCGCATCAGGCTCTCTGCTCAGCAGGGAGCCTGCTTCCCTTCCTCTCTCTCTCTGCCTGCCTCTCTGCCTACTTGTGATCTCTGTCTGTCAAATAAATAAATAAAATCTTTAAAAAAAAAAAAAATCAGTTACAGTTTGTTAATGTTTCAAGCTGTTACTGACACACATTCAGCAGGGATCTTTAGAGCCAAGAGACTGGCCTGAGAGATTCTGGGAGACTTCCCAGCTCCCATCCTGCTTACCTTGGGCTCATTCTCAGCATCCATGCTGCTCAGGATGTAGCGACACAACTTCTCGAATCTCTGCAAAGAGGCAGAGTAGGGGTTATACATTCGCACAACCAACGCTGAGATGGGAAAGAGGCAGGAGTCCCATGGGCACCTGGCACATGTAGGCACTCACATGGTGCCAGGGGACTCACATGTGTGATCGTATTGAATTCCCTCTCACAGATACAAAAACACGATCGGAGAGGCTAACGGAAGGCTCTCAGCCTGGTGGCCCACAGGCTGGATGAGCCTGACACGTGCATTTTACACTGGGGCTCCTTTGCAAAAACAAAATCAACCTGGCAATCTGGGCCTGCACTTTTGCAGACTGGCATCTGTCTCCTCAGTGGTGCTCCCCCAGGGGCCATTCTGTAAGCACCTCGGACAGAGACTTCTGCCTCACAAACTGTCACATCATCACTTTTCTCTTGAAATGCAAAAGGAAGGAAAGTGGAAACTAAATTACACTGTCTATACCAACCCTGAATCCACCCTCAAAAGTGCTGTGGTCCTGGGCCGCCACCTCATTACCCAGAGCTATAGTTTCCTCTGTCAACAGTGGTCACCTCACTTCATCTGTCTGTCCTCATCTATGTGTCTGTGTGTCCACTGCCAGCAAACTTTTGCCTCTCTCTAGGCTACGGGCTCCACGGGGCTAGAGACCTTGCCCATCTTGTTTCCTTCCGGGCCCCCAGTGCCTTCAGGAGGGTCTGGCACAATGGGATGCTTAGCAGTAATGAATGCCTAACCCCTGGGAGCACAGAGGCACTCCTCAATGCTATCGGGTGTACTGGAACAGACAACTCGCTGCTCTAGGCTGATCACTCTAATCCCAAAGGTGCAACCAATACATTTTGTTTGGTTTATAGGATTTGAAAGGAATTTCAAATTAGCTACCAATTATTACTAGCAGGCACAGGATCTCCAGTACCTCCTCTTCAAATGAGAGTAGCAGTCCACCACTGGCTGCAGCCCCAGAGTGGCTACCCACCTTGAGTGGGCATGCTTTGGACCCCATCGCTCCCTCTAATGTCCTCACCATCCTCCATCACCACCACCTCCCTTAGTTATTGCTCACTAGGAATTCTGTTGTTTTGTAAATGGCTTCTTTCACACATTTTCCTAACCTGCCTGGCTCCCAGTTTACATCTGACTCCAAGGGCTTATCATACTTAATGTGAAAAGAACAGTGATGATTCTCAGAAGCACTGGCCATGATGCCTACAAAACACATCCTAAGAACACAGAAAGGGCAGGATGTGGCAGTCCCAGAGTTTATCTTCGTGGTCTCCCTGTAAGGGCTAAATGAATTAGTATTTATAAAATACTTTAAAAAGATCTGGCCGATGGGTAAGCAGAGTGTTCGCTATTATTATTTTACCTCATTATCCTCTTTAATTCTGAACAGGAACAGCAGTTTCCTGGCAATCTTAAAAATACAAAGTGCACTTTTTTTACTGGACTCAGCATCATCTGCTTTAAAAAACTCATCGATCTCTCTCCTGGGGAAGGAAGGATAAGAAAAAAAAAAAAAGACATTTTAAATTAGCTCACAGCAGCTGGAAGACTCTTCAAGAACTGTAAGAGAAAACACCATCTTTTCTTGCTATTAACTGGGAGCAAGGGAGAATGTGCGGAGCCCCTGGCACCCACCTGATTTCTTTCTGCAGCCGGCTCCGACACAGGAAACTCCGAACATGGGCCTGAATCTCAACGGCTGCCCGTTCCCGCTCCTTCTGCACGAGCCTTTCCTCTCGGGCCTGACGGGCCCTATCAATGAACCATGCTCTCGAGGTCTGAGAAACGGTGAACATATTTGCAAACTTGCACAAACCCTGTGGAGAAAATGGTGAGCGGCCTCTGTAGGCCATTATAGGAAACACATGCACAGGAAAGGGGCTCAGGAGCCAAGGGTGGGCAGGCACTGAGGCAACTGAGAGCTACTTGGGACCTTTCTGTATCCCCCAAAAAGGCTAAGAGCTCTCCTGGCACAAGTCCCAACTTCCTACTGGCTCTTTTCATGCAACTCATCTGGACCAGCCATGCTCTTTCCTGTATTAAATAATTACATCTGCTTAAGAGAAAGAGCACAGCATCTGCCCATAGGGTATGGGCTCTGTAATCGTTTAACAGATGAACAAAGCATGAATCAATTCCATCCCTAACGCTCTAATGCAAACCAGGTATCCTCCAGGTCAAAGGTTCCTAGATAATCGAATTCTCTAATTCGATTCTCTAACACTGAGCAGTCAAATTTATTTTTGCCAAGTTAAGACTTGGAAGGGGAAAAGAAAAAAAAAAAAAATCAAACAATTATTTACTGTCATTATTTCATTCAGCCATTCACTCGACAAATATTTACTGGCACTTATTTTGTGTCCACCACAAAAGAAACCCTTAATCTTTCTGGAAAAAGGGTCATTTTAATGCTAAAAAAGCTAAATGTGATTCCAGAATGCAAAACAATCTGTTAAATTGAATATATTTGTTTTTATGTACGATTTACTCTGCCATCCTTACTGATCCCATCTTGCCATGGGCTGATGAGGACTCTGGGCCAGAACTCTGCCATCCACTGACTGGCACGTTTTGGACAGAGCTTCTCAATTATCCATTACATTTTTATCCAAGTCACCAGTAACTGTCTTTTCCCAAAGTGGTAGGTTTGGCTATCAGCCTAGCGTACACAACACTGGTCCATGGAGGCTCCCACACTGAGAGGTTTTCTTTGGAGGCTCGAAAACTGTCATTCTGTCCCAAATATATAATTAGCCCAGCTGACAAAACGACTGAAATGGATTACTCAGAAATCCATACCTCCCTGGGAAACAATCTCTTTGCCGTGTTACCTCCCTCAAAGCAGTGCCCAGGTGAAAACACCATCTAGAATAAAAAGCTCGGGGCACCTGGGTGGCTCAGTGGGTTAAAGCCTCTGCCTTCGGCTCAGGTCATGATCCCAGGGTCCTGGGATAGAGCCCCACATTAGGCTCTCTGCTCAGCGGGGAGCCTGTCTCTCTGCCTACTGCCTACTCTGTTGGTCAAACAAATAAATAAAATCTTAAAAAAAAAAAAAAAAGAATAAAAAGCTCATTCAGGGCTCTTGCCAGATCAACCTAGTGAGGGGCCTCAGTGGTCCCTTTTCGACAGTGATTCACATCTATTAAACAAGGCTTTCCCAACACATGGGTCTCTCATCAATAACCGTCAAAACAAATAAACAAAGCCAACCTGATCACAGGACGGAGGGGAAGAAGGCAGAGGAGGAAAAGATAACAGTCTTCTGAATCACTTGCTCTCTGCCCAGCAGAAGCCTGGAGAGCTTACCTGAGGACCTGCCTGTGATACAGAAATGCCAGGTAATCATTAGTGATGTTGTCAAGGACTCACAGCTGAGGGCAGCTTCTCGCTTCAGAGGAGCTTGTCTTTTCTGGCAAAAGCAGAAGGAAAAAAAAATCCAGATTCAGGGTTAAGTTTTATAGATAGGGCATCCTATATCTTCCTCACCGAATAAAATAATTTTAAAAAGTACCTCTGGTTTGAAACACTAAGCTAGTGTTTAAACACTAGTGTCCTTTTTAGTGAATGTCTGATATCTTCCCAGGCCTTCAGCCTAAAGGGAACAGACTGAAAACAAGCCCAGAGAAGCTGAATGAAAACTGTACTTGCTTTATGACAGTAAGCAGAACAGGAGAAGGGAATGTTAAAAAGCCATTGAAAATTATGTTTGAGATTTTTTAACCATAAGAAAAATGTTTATGCTGGAGAAATGAAAAAAGAGCTGGCTGTGGATCCATCTGATCCCAGTTACATAATGAAAAAGAAAAATGCTTGTGCACACAGAGGCACAAAGCTGGGAAAAAAACACACCAACATGTTGAGGGCGGTTGTTTTGAGGCAGAGGGATTACAGGAAGTTCTGCTTCCTTAACTAGGCTGTTTCCTAAATTTTGTGCAGAACACACATGATGAGGCAGCATGGCACTGAGAAGCACACCTGCTTTGGAGTCACAGAGCTGGAGCTGGTCCCCAGCTCTGCTAGGTGCTGGAGAGAGATGCCTCAGAGGCTTTCTGCCTTCATCTCTTTATTGGCGGAGGCTAAGGACAACCAAATGAGATCATGTATGTCAAATACCTGTCATGGTGGCTGACGGTGCACAGTCAACAGTAATCAATGCATTATCTTTACAGACACGAGTGTTATTTTGTTTGTTTTCCAGCTCTTCAGTAGGGGCGCCTGGGTGGGTCAGTTGATTTGAGTGTCTGCTTCGCCTTGGGTTACTATTCTGGGGGGCCTGGGATCTGGCCTCACATCGGAATCGGGGCTCCCTGCTCAGTGGGGAGTCTGTTTTTCCTTCTGCCCCTCCCCCTGCTTGTCCTCCTTCACCCTCTCTCAAATAAATAAATAAAATCTTAAAACAAAACTTCGGTAGAGGCTCTCATCTGCACACTCAGGTTCTTTGAATAGGAAATAAGGCTGGGACCATTACATTTCTCATCCATTAAATTTTGTCCTATCCCTGGGTACACTAAGATTCACCAGTCCTATCATTTGGGCTAGGACCCTGTTTAGATTGGGTAACAGCTTCAAGCTTCTGAGAGCTGCAAAAGAGAGGGCCCAAGCCATGAGCACAATGGTATGATCATTCCTTAACATGTAGAAAGCTCTTCATTTGGGGGTGGGGGACAGGGAGCCTCTTCTCAATGGAAAAACAGGAGGATGCATAGGCAGGCAAACTGTGACAAAGTAGCTCTAAGACTATCTCAAAACTTTCACTTCTCCCAGGAGAACTTGCAGAAGAGCTTTTGCAGCTTTTCTAGCTCCTTCTTATTCACCTCTTCTACTGCCTAGAATCTACTAGTTCATCAAACAAATAAAATACATTATGAAGTCTTTAGATACTCAAAGTAACTGTAATGAAGGATTACACAAACTTCGACACAATCAAAAAAAGGCTGTATGTAATAGGAAAAAAAACCTGAATCAAAATACCCTTGGTTCTTTCCAGCTCTGATTCTACCTCATTTGGCCAAATGGCTTATCCTCTCTATGCCTCAGTTACTTTATCTGTAAATTGAGGATAATAGTACCTACCTCCTAGGAGTGCTAAAAGAATTGAAATATTTACACTTCTTCTATTTTGACCTCGTCAACACGACACTCTGATTAGGATTAGAGTGGGAAGATTTTAACAAGGAGTATTTGAAAGTAGATAGCATGTAACTGAGCTTTACTGTATCATCTAGACTTAAAAAGCAAGCAAAAAAAAAAAAAAAAAATCCAAAAAGCTTACCATCCAGTTAGGGAAACAATGATATATGTGGAAAAATTAGGAACATAAGAGGTTGATGATAACCACGATTATTTAAAAAGCAATAAGGAAAATAAGTTGATTAAATATCCATTATGTGTCATGTCCCTTCTATATCATAAGCCAGCAACCATGTGAGATCATTTAGTTATGTCCCATAGTCCATGTTAGACAATTAGAAAGGGGCAGAGCCAAGATTTTAATACTAAGAGACCAGACTCAGATGTTTTTCTACTTCTATATTCCCATGGTATCTGCTCAAAATCAGTCTTCCCTGGATGTGGTCAGTTTCCTGGATAATTATGAAAGAGTCCAGAGGGTATCGACCAAAGGTGAAGCATCATCAATATCAACTATCTGAGCCCAAGAGGATTTTCCTCCTATGGGTGGAAGAGCTGGGCAGCCAAGTTTAGTGACCACCACCATTTGTTAAGGGCAGATCGTGTATCAAACACTGTACAGCTATTTAACTAACTTTGTCTTTTCAACAGCTCTTCCAGGTCTCGGTGATCCAATTTTTAAATAGGCAACAATATTCTTAGACTGTGAGGAATAACAGCTATCATTTATTGAAGGCTACAGCCTATCTAGGTGCATGGTATTATCAATCCTACCTTCCCACAGAGAAAATGAAATGTAGAGTGGACATGACTTTTTAGAGGTCACTAGACTCCCGAATTTGAAGCCACCTCTAAGGCCAAAGCAATTAGTTAAGTGATACTGAAAAGACCCAAGGGACTCCGTAGCTCACAGGGCAGCAAAGAAAAGCTGAGAATGCAAGGCTGCCGCTAGGGCTGTTAGAGTCCAATTACGACCAAGTTTTCTTACTGAAATCATTTACACCGGCTGTCTCTACTGAGAGAGCTGAGTGTCAGTCACTAAAACCTGTATTACACAACCTCCTCTGTGAAACGAGCTAATTACTCCATTTTACAGAGCAAGAAAGCGAACCCGGAGGGGTGAGGGAATTCACTCAAGGTCATATAGCGAGTGACTAGGACTCGAACTCCGGTTTGGGTGACTCTTGAAGCCCAGCATCTTTCCTCGGGATCAACAACCATGATAACAAATCTTTTTCACCCAGCAGTACTCTGTCTATACTTCCCAGAGATGAAAAAGGGTGGAAACGGCTACGAAGAGATTCCCCCGCCCCTCGGAACACGAAAGCCAGTCCCCAACACCTGCCCTCCTACTTGGGGAGGCAGGGACCCGGCCGAAGGGCTACCTCCCCCAAAGCCCCCCCCAACACACCCGGAGAACCCACAACCTGTTCCCACTCGCTCCCCGCAGGCCGTAGACCTTTATCCGCTCGAAGCCCCCTCGCTCGGGGTCGGGGCCGCAGCTACCGCCGCCTCAGCCCAATACCTTCGAGCTTAGGCAGACCCGGGGCAGCAGCCGAGGATCGACCGCCATCTTGCCCCGGGGTGTCCGCTCTCAGAGCTCCGCTGGGAAGCAACTATCCAGTTCCGGTAAACGACAGTTCCGTAGAGCTTCTGTACCCGGGAAGGACGACCTCTCTGCATCTTTCCCTCCTCCTTGGAAGGTGAAAAGAGGCGGACCATTCAAGAGCGGGTTAATGCTTGATCCAGCCGAGATGCAATCCACTCCAGCCACAGAGACTGGAGGGAACGCAGCCGATGGGCAGACTCACGAACGGACTCTTTAAGAAGGAACCCTCTGCGGGGCGGAAGCTGGCTGAGGCAGCGGAAGTTCCCGCGCCGGCCCCGCCTCTCCCCCCGGCTTGCGCGAGCTGGGTGTTTCCTGCCTCTCTCAGTCCGGTTTTGGAGACTCCTGCGTCCTCCGACTTTTCATGGTAGGGAGGGCGTTGCCGACCAACGGGGGGCTCTGGGTGGCCGGGAGAGCCCGCAGAGGCAGAGTAGAGAAGGGGCCGAGGGTGGGGGGTGTTGCGGTGAGGGGCTGTCGCGAAAGGGGAGAAGTGGTTGGTGGGGCGAGGCCGGGGGTGGGGGAAGGGTTTCGGTGGATAATTTGGGGGGTGGTCCTTGGCTGTTGGGGATCGGGAAAGAGCGTTTGGTCTTGGGGGAGTAGATTTGTGTGTGGGTGAGTTGGGGGGTGTCTCTGAGTCGAGTGCTCATTGGAAATGGGATTGGTGATTGTGAAGAGAACAAAGAGGGGTCGTCGAAGATGGACATTGGGGTGGAGAGTGAGGATGGAGGGTGTTGCGAAAGAGAACGGTTAGGTTGTGACAGAGCGACGTGAGATTCCTTGGGGCGGAGCGTTTGGGGTTTTTTGGAAGTTGTGACTGCAGTCTCTGGGTTTCAGGAAAGTGGAGAAAGGACTTCCAGGTGCTTCTAAACATAAGGGCGCGAGGGGGGGCTAGGGGGAGAAATAGAGGGAGCTGGAGGGCAGATGTGCATCCGGTTTCTAGAGGGATGCCAGGGGCTTGAAGTCAGGGTACCGTCACCACGGAGTCCAGCGCCCTTAACTGGCGCCTTGGTACCTATCTAGTCACTTCCGTTGGAGCCTGAAGTGGCCACACCTAAGGAGCTGGGAATGGGTCATGCTGTCATCCAGCTGTGGGAAGGGTTCTGTTTGCTTGTGATCCTTTAAGGGTCTGTACATTAAGTGGCCCTTTGGCCGTGGGTGGGAATGACCAACGTTCCGCCTTGCTCTTTTACTTCTTTGCCTCGTGTCTTTCCTGGAAAACACAGTCTTTAGAGAAGATCAGTTTCAAGGACACTGCCGAGAAAACTTAGCCAACCTGTATCTGACTTTGCTCCATTTTATGCAAGACAAGGACCACCTGAGGAGAAGGATGCGTTAAACCAGTGTGGTTTTCAGACTGCTCCCCAGACCAGCAGTAGCAGCAGCATCACCTGGGAACTTGTTAGAAATGGCCAAATTTTCAAGCCCTCCCACTGATTACTTGAGCAGTCTGCAGGTCGGTTGCCTCGATCTGTTTTAACACGCCCTGCGGGAGATTAATGATTTCTTGATTTGGGCCTTGTAATGAAAGGGGCCCGAGTCCCGAGGACACTTGTAGTTCTGATTCTTTGGTTTTTCTCCCCTAAAAAGTGGGATTGATGATTATGTCTTCTTCACTGGACCTCTGGGAGAAAGAGGCCAATAGCTTGCACAGAGGGAGAGAAAATAATTTAGCAGGACACTTGGAAATAGCAGTAGGTGCCCTATAAGCAAATTTTGGGTGCAAAATAATACCATGGTTATGTGCCCGATGTGGTGCAGTTTGGTTGAAAGGTAACAGCAGACTTTCCTGAGTTGTAGAAATGCCCTTAGTTTGGGGAAGTTTTATAATTAGCAAAAAGGCCTTGGCTCTTTGATGAAGCTGCTTAAAGAAGCACCTTTGCTCTGTGGCTTTTAGCTGGGGCTGCACCTTAGATCACCTGAAGAGTGTTCTTTTTTTTTTTAATTAAGAGAACAATTTTATTCATAATAGTATTTATTTGACAGAGATCACAAGTAGGCAGAGAGGCAGAGAGAGAGAGAGAGAGAGAGAAGCAGGCTCCCTACTGAGCAGAGAGCCCGATGCGGGGCTTGATCACAAGACCCTGGGATCATGACCTGAGCCAAAGGCAGCGGCTTTAACCCACTGAGCCACACAGGCGCCCCCCCC